CAGTCGAGCGGGTGCACTTCCGGCCACTGAAAAAATGTACTACAGAATGACCAACTTAATTTCCTTCCAGAGCTTGACCTACTGCATTCTTCAAATCCGTTTCGTGCTTTGTTAAAATTCTGAGCGACATCGGCTTGCGCACTCTAACTCTTTTTCGATTACACACTTGCACTAGAAGCCACTATTGGTGGATTTTTCTGCAAAATTGTGGCTTGTTGTGAAGTTGTGTGTGAAATTGTGCCTTCCTCTGTGTTGCGCAATAGTAAGCAAGTCACTTCAAACTTCAAGTATTAGGTTGTCCGGAAATTAATGCCCGGTTTGAATTTCAACCGCAATAAGTCATACACCTCTCAATTCTAAATAGGATGCAGAGTACCTTTCGATAGAGCAAAGCAAGCTCTACAAAAATTCCATCTTGCTTTTGCAAGAGCTCTCATCCACCTCGAGTTTCAAGCCAAAAACTAAAAAGACTCAGCAGCCCGAAAAATCGAAAAAAATCCTAACTCATTTCACAAAAATCCTACAAAAATTCCTACTTGCTCACGTAAACACTATCTACATAAAACATCCATATACGCCTTTACCGTATTTTTTTCTTTTTTAGAAACCAAGAAAACGGAAATTTTCGTGCATTTGCCAAAGTGATGCTGTGCCATCCCCACATAGGTAGTTGTATACCACAAGCCTGTAGAAGTACAGACTTGAATTTTCAGCTCTTTACAAGCTTTAGTTCTCGAGAAATACCGAATATAGCTTCCCTTAGTTAGGTGGTCCAAGCTAAAATTCAAATTTCTTGAGAACTAAAGCTTATAGAGAGCTGAGAATTTACTTTTGTACTTCTACAGATTTGTAGTATACAACTATCTATGCGGGGACGGCACAGCACGACTTCGGCAAATGCACGAAAATTTCCGCTTTCTTGATTTCTAACAGAGGAAAAAATACGGCAAAGGCGTATATAGATGTTTTGTGTGGATAGTGTTTACGTGAGCAAGTAAGAATTTTTGTAGGATTTTTGTGAACTGTGTTACGATTTTTTTCGATTTTTCGGGCTGCTGAGTCTTTTTAGTTTTTGGCTCGAAACTTGAGGTGGATGAGAGCTGTTGCAAAAGCAAGATGGCCTTTTTGTAGAGATTGCTTTACTCTGTCGAATGGTACTCTGCATCATACTTAGAAGTGAGAGGTGTATGACTTATTGCGGTTGAAATTCAAAACGGGCATTAATTTCCGGACAACCTAATATTAGCGAAAAAAAAGCTAGACTTTCACATTATCTCTAGCAACATGATCAGCAGATGCATACATTATTAGATTTATAAGCTCAGTGTTGTGTCGATGATATGAAGCAATAACTCTAGCAGTACATGTTTCGAGCAACAAAACTTAGTTAGTCTCAGCCTGCTGATATCATAAATTTCGAAATTTTTAAAAATTCGCACGTAGAATAGTCAAGCATTTCCTGCAAACTCCCGATATTTGCAGCGCAAACCCGAGTCGTCGGGGCAGAAGACATCATTATCGGGACATTAAACACACCTATCCTGCAAATCAATCATGCCTTATCTGCCAATGCCTCCAAAATTCGCTATTCCTTATGTATGTCAACATATTATCACTATCAAGGCATGGGACGCTAATTTTCGTTGAGACGAAGAAAACTGGAAACTTGAATTGGCTTGCTTTTTTCAACCATCACTAATTCTGCAACTTCTCAATGTTTTTGTACTGCTGTGTCACAAATCAATAAACGTTTGCAATACCTGATAGTTGTTGCCTTTTTAAAAAGACTGATCACGTACTCCCGCGCTAAAAAATTGAGTGGAACTACGTCGCGAAAAATTAGTGGTTCAAATATCAGTGCTTTTTTCGCCTATTCATCCCATACGTTGCGAGGCAGTTGCAACTGTATAAAAAAGTTATGAGCAGGTCAAATTTAAACTTCTTTCTGCACTAAAGACAAAGAACTACTACTTCTTTGCTCACATTAGGTATTCCACTCTAGATAACCTGCAAACTATAAAATTAAAAGCAAGCCAAAATTTTGGTAGAGAACACCGATTAGGCATCACTTTTCTGAAACTAAGGAGGTCTAGACAATTGATTATAATTATTCTCGCCTCCTTCCTTCGCGATTCACGTACTAGTGCAAACTTAGCCTGTTACCGTAACCCAATATTTTCGCCGTAATTTCACTTGTATAGGTTAAGAATAACAACTACATCTTTTCCTAAGATAAACGATTTTGAACGAAATTCCTGCTGTGCGCAGAAGAAGGTTCAGCAGTAATAACGATATAAAAAAAAGATAATCGGATGCTCCGAAGGTAGTTAGTGGAGCGTGGCACGACCCCTAAAAAGGTGCGGCAGTTACAGCTTTTCTGGGGTTGCGTCACATCCCATTAACTTATCTTCGGAGAATTTTAGCAAACAGAATATACACAGCTCGATAATCAAAATTTTGTTAATTTGTTCCTTCTTGCAATGCTTGCTTGAAGTACAGCCACTGAAATAGTGGGACAAGTGACATTTTGGCTAGCTCCTAATTCCAAGTTTGAAGGTTATTTGTAGCAGGATTCACGGCTTGGGAAAATAGGAAGTAGTATCTTGTACTGAGTACATAAATAAGAGCTGATTCTTTTTTGAGATGTAATTAAGCATGTTTGAATTTGACTGCTTCATTTGGATGGCCCCTCGGGAACTCTCAGAATTCGCCAAAACTTGGCCTACAGGGGTTATTTGACATGATACGTACAAACACACTATTAATTATGCTTGATAAAGCCTTTATGTTATGCACACGGTAGGCCAACGATATCGCATGAGGGAGGGGGTATTGGAGAGCAAGCTATGCATGGCGAGAAAATGCGACTATGCAAGCGCTTTGCTTTATTTCGGTGGGACAAATTAATGAGCACATCATAGCCAGAATTTGAATGTTGTGTTCTATAAACGTGGTTCATTGTTTCATTAGTAACAGCAATTGGACCAATATCATACGATCTCCTTTTCTCTCATGGTAAATATCAGAAGTTAAATTTTCATTTGGATTGGACTGGTGCTGTAAAATTTCATGAGCCTGCTGTTTTTGCAAGAATCTGCTCTTGATGCGTACTAGATCAAAAAAAAAAACAGTAACCAAGTTCCTTAAGCGGTGACATCTCCTAAGTATTGAAAAAGTTTCATATTTCGTAACGTAAATAAAAATTTTGAAACACAGTAGTGGCTAAGATAAGAGCTGAATTCAGATATATATAGCCTTCAGCGGTCTTCAGATTATTCCATTTCTTCCAACTAATCAAAAGCAACATGGGGCCCATTCTGCGTCATAAACAGGGTTGAGCAAGAGATGTGACATACAACCGCCAAATACGATCCCCCTCTAACAAGGGAAGGATGTTCAACCGAAGTGGCCTTTTGCGATAATTTGTGTATGGTGTAGGAGGACATAAAATGCTGATTCCAAATCTGTCATCTGCGGCGCGTTCTAGGACGAGGAGTTATGAGCGTTTGAAGGAGCAAAAAATGATGTTTTTTTGGGGATAAAACAGTTGCGAAAATTTAACCTAATATTCTCGTCGAAGGTAAGTTAATGTGGTGTGGCACAACCACAGAAAAGCTGTGATTGGCACTTCTTTTCAGGGGTTGTGCTACACCCCATTAGCTTACCCAGGAATTTCATTTAAAATCGTTTCGCATAGGGAAAGATATAATCGTTTCTTCTTACCTACGCAAATTGAAAATACTGCGAATATACTACGGTAGCATGCTAATTCTACGCTGCCACGTGAATCGCGAGGGAAGGCGACAAGAATGTATGTATTCGATAGCGTAAAGCTCGTTATTTTTACAAAAGTAATTTGAGCTTGATTGGCTTTCTCTAACTGAGTGTTAAAAGCGAAAAATGGAATGAACAAGATCTTGGCTTGCTCTTCTTAATTCCTTAATTTGAAGGTTATTTGAAATAGAACCCCTAAAGTAAGCAAAGAAATGGTGGTTCTTTGTATTGAGTGCAGATAGAGGTGCTCAACTGACTACTGAAACAAAGTTAACATGGTTGAAAATGACCATTTTACTTGAGTGGCCCAGTATTTGGAAACCTCAGAATTCGCGAAAGTTGGCCCACAAGGGTTATTTGACATGCTAATTACGAAAACGATGCTTTTATCTTTTAAAGATTTTTTATCATGCTTACTGATGTATACGATGGTGTGCCAAAACATCAGTGCTAGTATTTTGCATGATGGGAGTTTCTGATATTATTAACAAGCATCATGTTATCGCTAACATGAGAATCATCTTGATAACGACCTTCCTCCCCCTCCCCCTCTCCTTAGAATGCTCCTCGGCAACAACAGACTTACTGGCCTGTCCCCCCCCCCCCCCTTACCTCCGTGCATTCGCGAGTATGAAGAGAGAAAGCTCCCAGCAACTTCTGCTGTGCCGGAAAATGACCCGAACTGCACTTAAATAGGCATCCGGCAACTCGGGCGGAAAATTTGACTTACGGCTTGAAGAGCCTCTTCGAGTATGAACGCAGTTGTACATCGCGGTTTGGCAACTGGTCTCGTCCCTCCCAACTCTGAGGCTGCAGAACCCCAAAAATTAAACACCAGTTGTCTTCCTAATTCGATCCACTACAACATAACATTTTTAGGAAAACTGAGAGAATTTTCGCTTTATAACTATTGATGATTTTTCATAAGTTTCCACAAAGGCGCTTCAGTTCTTCGTATGTAAGCAAAGGAATCTGGGCGGTTTTTTGCTGAAATTATTTTCGGACTCCAAGTAGAATCATTTGCTAAGAAGGATTATTTACAGCAAATGAAGCACGGACAGCGGTACTGACCAGCTGGCAATGGGGAGTTGGTTTGTTCCGTTTGGTATTCTTAGGCTGTATATGTGCATTAAAGTCGTGAAAATACAATTTATTTGAACATTTCTCTCGACAAGTTTGGAAAATGATTTGAACCACCACGGCATTTTAATTTTCAAATAGGCGAATTATCCACGATATAGAAACCAATCTTCTTGTGGCTTCAATATTTTATCCATAAAGTTCCTGTTCCGTAGCCTCCGTCTAAATGATAAGTTCCTTTTCCATAATAATTTCTATTCATTCCATATCTGTTCATTCCATATTCGTTCATTCCATATCCGTTCATTCCATTTCCGTTCATTCCATACCCGTTCATTTTTCCGTTCATTCCATTTCCGTTCATTCCATATTCGTTCATTCCATTTCCGTTCATTCCATATCCGTTCATTCCATTTCCGTTCATACCATTTCCGTTCATTCCATATCCATTCATCCCATTTCCGTTCATTCCATACCCGTTCATTTTTCCGTTCATTCCATTTCCGTTCATTCCATAATCGTTCATTCCATATCCGTTCATTCCATTTCCGTTCATTCCATTTCCGTTCATTCCATATCCATTCATCCCATTTCCGTTCATTCCATTTCCGTTCATTCCATACCCGTTCATTCCATATCCGTTCATTCCATATCCATTCATTCCATAATGAAAATGAGGAGTAGTAGGAGGATTCAAATGTGGAGTGGTCCTACTAGTATCAGGTACGATAGTATAGCCAGTGTCATAGCCTTGGTGAAATTGGTAGCTATTGACGAAGGAAATAAAAATTGCCTGCAAGTGCTGCGAATTCACATTGAAATAAGAGTTAAACCATATTACTATATACCATGAAGATTGTTCTCCAAATCATTTTTGCTGCCGGCAAGACCCAGTTGACTTTTACTGAAATAAACAATGCTACGTTACTATTATTTCTCTTGTAAGCGGATAGCGCTGTTATCATTGCTGTTAGGGAAAAAGAGGATGAACTGGATAAGGAAGCAAACCAAAAAATGTTACGCTCACTTCAACAAAGGCATATATAATGGAAATTTTATTGATTAGGAGCAATCGGGCTTAACGTGCTATGCCAGATATTTTTCTTCCGTTTTCTAATGCCTTTTGAAAACTTATGTATATGCGCACATGCATTAAACGTCTTAAAGTATTGACCCAATTAGCATAAACGATTGGTAATGTAAGCGTGGTACGCTACAATCATAGACAATTCAATAGCAAGAAAGTGTTACGTTTGGAACAAACATGCTCGTACCCCCCCCCCCCCTTTGTACTAACTCTCAGCGCCTTAAATCAAAGTTCGCTAGAGATAGATAGCAGCGATGAGCTTGATGCGAAACTTGATTTTCAAGCTGTTATTTCCGTGGTCGGAATATTCACTTAACTACTTGTAACTTCAAGGCAACTCAAAGTTTGCTGAAGCAACAAATATGTACACAAAGAAATTACCTTATGACACCCTCCCCGCCCCCCGATGTGTGTGGCGTACTCCGATTTGGTTCGGTTGAAAATGGAATCCCCTGTAGAGAGCATGCGTACACAAAGAAAAGAGGTAGTTCGAGAGACAAACGGAAGCTTTATATATAAGACTATCGACCCTATTGGTCGCTTGGATAAGCGCTATGTACTGCAGCGCAATTGCTCTCTGAAGTAAGTTTTTCAGAAAATTTACCAAAATTTGCCCAAACGAGTGCCACTTTTCTGAAATTGATATTGTCCTGCCGAGCGCTGTACATTTTCCTTGAGGAAGACCAGGCTTGCTAACTCCCTGAACTTTTTGAAGGAAATTAAAAACTTTGCAGAGTGCTCGCACTCTAAATTAAAGGCAGCGTCCGGGCAAAATTTCGCCTTTCATGTTTCTGCCATTCTGGGGTTTAAGTGACCCTGATTACAGTTGTGAAGTCCAAATTGTTCAAAACCCCCAAAAAACCCGATTCTTGGAGACCCTCTCTTCATGGAGCGGACGAGTTTCAGATTGCTCGTCCCCATCGCATGCCAGCTTGAGGAGCTGCACCGCAGGATGCAGTTGCATTGCAGTGTGGAGTGCAACTACAATGCAACTGCAATGCAACCGCACACCTGCGTAAGCACTCTCCTCAGGGATGGTTTGTGATACGTGTCACAAGCCCCTATCTCATTTTAGAGGCCGCGTCAAAGGATCGGACCAACGCAGATCGGGTACTCATGGGCCCTCTTTACAACTGTACGCTAATCTGGGTGGATGGATCCTGCCTGGACGCTGCCTTTGAATTTTTCACAGATTTTCTCCAAACTTGCACGAAAATTTTTTGTTATCAAGAGAACAGTGAAAATACTGCAGAGTAAAATTTCTGCAGAGCAATTGCTCTGTGAATTGAATATCTCAAAGATTTTTTCCAGATTTGTCCGGAAATTGGTGTTACTTTTTTTGAATAGTGTTTGCCCTATTTAAGACCATGCTTGCTTTCACATGCTCAATTTTCAAGAGAAGAATGAAATTTTTGCATGGCGAATTTTCTGCAAAGTAATTGCTCCCTAAACTGGGGTTCTTCGAGCTTTTCCCTTTTGCACGGAAATGGGTGTTACTTACCCAAATTAGTGTTCTGCTCTGCGTAACGCTGTATATTCTCCTTCAACAAGACCACGCTTGTTCACACATTCCACTTTTTGAAAGGAAAATGATTTGTGCAAAGTAATTGCTCTCTAAATTGAGGTTCTCACCATCAGAAATTTTCTCCAAAATTGTCCAGAAACGGGTGTTGATTTGTTGAATTAGTGCTCTGTTCTGCGAAACGCTGTAACTTTCCTGCAATAAGACTTTGCTCACACACTGCTCACTCAATTTTTCACAAGAAAAATAAAAAGTTGTGTAGAGATTGCTCTCTAAATTGAGTTTTCCAGCGATTATCTCATTTACCAGGCAGCTGGAAATAATTTCTTTCATTGTTCTTTTGCCTATTATGTGCAATGCTGAAATTCCCACGAAAAGTTGATAAAATCGATAGAAGAGATAAGTAACAAAACAAACGGTTTCTATACAAGAGTAAGTAGTCCCAAAAGTAAGTACACTTTTTGATTGCCACTATCTTCCCACAAAGTCGTTTGCTTAGCTTCAAGTACCATTTAGTAGAGCTTGATTCAGATTTACAGTATGAGCGAACCATCCATCTTTCTTCGTTACTGTAGGATTACGGTAGGGACTTTGAAGAAGGTGTTCCAAGCCATCAATAGCTACCTTTCGTCTCAGAATGGATACACAACAAGCTAAGACTTTATGATTAAGCTAAACTGGGTTACTGCATGATTATGAAATACGCCTTACCACGGGGCTTTTATCCATGTGTTATTCCGCTAAACGGCTAGCGCTTCTTTCAGTGTCTTCTTAATTGTCTCTTCTTAATTCTTTAAATTGAAGGTTATTTGAAGTAGCCCTAAAGTAAGCGAAGAAATGGTGGTTCTTTGTATTGAGTGCAGATAGAGGTGCTCAACTGACTACTGAAACAAAGAGTGGCCCAGTATTTGGAAACCTCAGAATTCGCGAAAGTTGGTCCACAAGGGTTATTTGACATGCTAGTTACGAAAACGATGCTCTTATGCTACTAAAGATATTTTATTATGCTTACTGATGTATACGATGGTGGGCCAAAACATCAGTGTGCTAGTATTTTGCATGATGGGAGTATCTGATGTTATTAACAAGCATCATGTTATCACATGAGAATCACCTTGATAACGACCTCCCCCCCCTCCCCTTCTCCTTAGAATGCTCCACGGCAACAACAGACTTACTAGGCCTGTCCCCCTCTTACCTCCGTGCATTCGACGAGTATGAAGAGAAAAAACTCCCAGCAACTTCTGCTGTTCCGGAAAAGTGACCCGAAATGCACTTAAATAGGCATACGGCAACTCGGGCGGAAAATTTGACTTACGGCTTGAAGAGCTTCTTCGAGTACGAACGCAGTTGTACATCGCGGTTTGGCAACTGGTCTCGTCCCTCCCAACTCTGAGGCTGCAGAACCCCAAAAATTAAACACCAGTTGTCTTCCTAATTCGATCCACTACAACATAACATTTTTAGGAAAACTGAGAGAATTTTCGCTTTATAACTATTGATGATTTTTCATAATTTTCCACAAAGGCGCTTCAGTTCTACTTTTGTAAGCAAAGGAATCTGGGCGGTTTTTTGATGAAATTATTTTCGGACTCCAAGTAGAATTATTTGCTAAGAAGGATTAATTACAGCAAATGAAGCACGGGCAGCGGTATTGACCAGTTGGCGATAGAAAGTTGGTGTAACTTTACGTTTGGCATTCTTAGGCTGTATATGTGCATTAAAGTCATGGAAATACGATTTATTTGGAATTTCTCTCGAGAAGTTCGGAAAATGATTCGAACAATAAAGGCATTTCAGTTTTCAAATAGGTGAATCATCCACAATATAGAAACCAATCTTCTCTTGGCTTCAATATCTTCTCCAATAAGTTCCTGTTCCGTAACCTCCGTTTCCGTAATAAAATCTGTTCCCATAATAATTTCTGTTCATTCCATATCCGTTCATTCCATATCTGTTCATTCCATATCTGTTCATTCCATATCCATTCATTCCATAATGAAAATGAGGAGTAGTAGGAGGATTTGGACGTGGAGTGGTCCTACTAGTATCAGGTACGATAGTATAGCCAGTGTTATAGCCTTGGTGAAAATGGTAGCTATTGACGAAGGAAATAAAAATTGCCTGCAAGTGCTGCGAATTCACATTGAAATAAGAGTCAAACCATAGTTACTATATACCATGAAGATTGTTCTCCAAAGCATTTTTGCTGCCGGTAACGCCCAGTTGACTTTTACTGAAATAAACAATGCTACGCTACTATTATTTAACGTGCAAGCGAAAAGTGCAGTTATCATTGCTGTAAAAAGTGGATGAGCTGGTTAAGGAAGCAAACCAAAAATGTTACGCACATTTAACAGGGGCATATATAGTGGAAATTTAATTGATTGATGACAGGGCTTGACTGTGCTATACCAAACATTCTTCCTTAAAGTACTTTCGTTTCATGTCATATAGTACAATGCATTTTGAAAATTTATGTACATGCGCTCATGCATTGCGCGTCTTTTTGAGCGGCAACCTCCTAACCATAAACAACTAATAATGTAACCTTGGTATGCTACAATCATAGAAGCGTAAGCAATTGATAATGTAAGCATAGTATGCCAGTATCATAGACATTTCAATAGCAAAAAAGCATCACTTTTAAAACAAGCATGCTCATTCCCTCCCCCCCCCCCCCCTTCCCTCGTACTAACTCTCAGCGCCACGGATAACGTTTAAAAAAACAGCAGCGATAAACTTAATGCTTGAATTTCTAAATTTATGTTATTCTTCGTGATCGACACGTCCGCTTGACTCCTAAATCGAAGCCATCGCCACAAAGTTTGCTGAAACAATAAATTGATATCCACAAGGAAATACCTTATAAGACCCTCCCCGCCCCCAAATGGTGCATGTGCACACTTCAATCTGGATCGGTTGAAAATGGATTTACCCATACGGAATATGCATACGCATAGAGACAGAGACAGATAGAGAGACAAACGGAAATACAGTCTCGTATATAAGACTATCGATTCTACTGGTCGCTACCAAGGGTAATGGCAAGTTCTTGGATAAGCGCTATGTACTACAACGCAATTGCTTTCTTAAGTAAGTTTTTCGGAAAATTTGTCAAAATTTGCCTAAACGAGTGCCACTTTTCTGAAATTGATATTGCCCTGCCGAGCGCTGTACATTTTCCTTGAAGAAGACCAGGCTTGCTGACTCCCTAAGTTTTCGAAGGGAAATACAAACTCCGCGAAGTGTTAGCACTCTAAAGTGAGTTTTTCACGATTTTTCCAAACTTGCACAAAAATCTTTTTGTGGAGCGCTGTACATTTTCCTTCCACAGGGCTATGCTCTCAGACGCTCAATCCCAAGAAAAATGAAAATGCTTCAGAGCAAAATTTCTGCAGAGCGACTGCTCTTGAATTGAATATCTCAAAGACTTTCTCCAAATATGCCCGGAAATTGATGTTACTTTTTTTGAATAGTGTTTGCCCTATTTAAGACCATGCTTGCTTTCACATGTTCAATTTTCGAGAGAAGAATGAAATTTTTGCATAGCGAATTTTCTGCAAAGTAATTGCTCCCCAAACTGAGGTTCTTCGAGCTTTTCCCTTTTGCACGGAAATGGGTGTTACTTATCAAAATTAGTGTTCTGCTCTGCGCAACGCTGTACATTCTCCTTCAACAAGACCACGCTTGTTCACACATTCCACTTTTTAAAAGGAAACTGAAATTTGTGCAAAGTAAATGCTCTCTAAATTGAGGTTCTCACCATCAGAAATTTTCTCCAAAATTGTCCAGAAACGGGTGTTGATTTGTTGAATTAGTGTTCTGTTCTGCGAAACGCTGTAACTTTCCTGCAATAAGCTTTGCTCACATACTGCTCAATTTTTCACAAGAAAAATAAAAAGTTGTGTAGAGCAATGCTCTCCAAATTGAGTTTTCCAGCGATTATCTCATTTGCCAGGCAGCGGAAAATAATTTCTTTCATTGTTCTTTTGCCTATTATGTGCAATGTTGAAATTTCCACGAAAAGTTGATAAAATCGATAGAAGAGATAAGTAACAAAACAAACGGTTACTATACAAGAGTAAGTAGTCCCAAAAGTAAGTACACTTTTTGATTGCCAATACTATCTTCCCACAAAGTCTTCTGCTTAGCTTCAAGTACCATTTAGTAGAGCTTAATTTAGATTTACAGTATGAGCGAACCATCCATCTTTCTTCGTTATTGTAGGACTACGGTAGGGACTTTAAAAAAGGTGTTCCAAGCCATCAATAGCTACCTTTCGCCTCAGAGATGCACAATAAGCTAAGACTTTATGATTAGGCTAAACTGAGTTACTGCATGATCATGAAATACGCCTTACCATGGGACTTTTATCCATGTGTTATTCCGCTAAACGGCTAGCGCTTCTTTCAGTGTTTCTCAAAAAGTGACTAAATCATTTAAAACTTTCAAGAAACTTTCAAAAAGTTGGCCACTGGGATCAGCATTTTTAAAACACTGCAATACTTTCCAGGGCTTTTTTTTTGAAATTTTTTTGAACAACTTACTTCACAATAGCGCTGTATGCTGGACTTCCTACTGTGATCCTACAGCAATTAAGAGAGATGGTTGATTCCTTTTTTGCTGTAAATCTTAATTGAAGCCCGCTCTACTGAGTGATACTTAAATCTAAGCCGAAGACTTTACAGGAAGGGAGTTATCAATGATTGAAAAGTGTGTACTTACTGCTGGGACCTGCATTCGTAATCAGCATGCACTTACCCCTCTCCATCTAGTCCCAACTCTCAGCCGCATAAAGGGCCGGGCATACTTCACGCGATTTCAGTCGCGACGCGATTTGGAATTTCGCCAGAAGTCTTCAGATCCAACACTAGCAAACCGCACATGCATAGCGTGTATGACATACATGGACTGATAACATGCCCCATCTTCTGCACATTTAAAATGTGTTTACAATGAGTTATGGACAGTTGGTATTTTGCCAAATCGCGTCGCGACTGAAATCGCGTGAAGTATACCCGGCCCTTAAGTAAAATTCCGCAAATGATCGATAAAATCGTTCAAAATAATGGGTGTTTATACAACACTTACCCTCTGTTACCCACCCCCTTAGCTCAAAGGCTGCAAATAATTGATAAAATCAGTAACAGTAACGTTTGTTTTACATCGACTATCTTATTCGTAATCGACTGCTCATGTGCCCCATTGTGTCAGCTGCAACCCTCCTTAGCTCAAAGGTTGCCGATCATTTGATGATAAAAAGTATTGAGCGCTTTTGTACGTCGCAGTTCCCCCGTCCTCTCGTCCTCATCTTTACACCACGCTTGTCTCAAAAATAAGCGGCGGTTTCTGCAACTAGCTCTTGCGTCTATTCAAAACAACGTCATAGCCATACCTAGAAGTTTTATATTATTGGGAGAGAATATGACTACAAAGGGATCAGCAAAAAACAGCCTGATTCGATACAGGTAAAGTTTGGAGCCAAAATCGGAAAAATTTTGCAGCCTGACAATTGAATTGTTGCGAAAAAAATCCTACGGACCTCCACTTCGGTCATTATACAGCAGACGCATAGTAGTAATTGAACATGCCTTCACTGATTTTTTCCGTGCATAGAATTCGAGTAAAAAATCAGTCTGAAAACTGCAAACTCCGCCATCAGCCCCTCCCGCGTGTGGCATTGTATAGTACACTCCTTACAAGGGATGGATACTTTTCACCGCAGCCATTCATAATGATTTGTATGTCTAAATATGAGCCTTTTGATGCTGGTTGCAATACTGTCTTCCATATCTGCAAAACGATAATCTGGATGGAGTTATGGTTATTCTTCCATGAATAAACTGCGTTACTGCGGAAGGTCAAAATCATCAATAAATTTCTTCCCTTTTCAAGTGCTCTGAATATCATTTAGATAGGTATAATACAATACAACAGTATTCCTTTTGAGATTTTCTTCAATAGCTTCAAATGGTAATTTATAACAAATTTGGTGATTTTAACTACCCAAAAGTACGCAAATTTTCTACGAAAAAAACTTCATAACTTCCTTCAGAAGAGTTTTGCAGATATCGAGCACAGATTTGGAATCAGCGTTTCGAGGAGTATCTTACAGTCTAGATCGTATTCCAAATGGCCACAGTGACCGAGTATTTTTTCCTTGTTAGTAAGTATGAACTTTGAATTTCACCTTCGAAAGCGTCCCGGTAATTGAGAAATAGCAAATTAACATTAGAAAAACCCGAAAAAAGTGATTTTTGCTTTGCGGGCTATAGTATCTCTTCAATTTGAGCCCCGGAAAAAATCCATTAGATACATTTTTAGTACTGTGTATATATTGTATAGCTACCAGTTTGGCGGTCCGTGAGAATTTTTGGAAGGAGATGCGATTTTTAAGGTAATTGAGAATTTCTGTTTTGTGGCTCCAAATTTTACATGGATCATAACTCAGGTGAGTCTTTGATGGTCATAATGTAGATCTTGCTTTAGGCAACGCCCATGTCTGCTAGGAAAACAAAAATGCTTAGATTTACCTAAAAATACGTTTTTTGGGACAACCTGTTAGTATGAATTACTCGATATTTTATTCCGCTTCAATAACATTCCCTGTCTTTGTCCCACTTCCATTGCCAGTCCTCCACCTCACACTTTTTTAGCACGCTATCAGCATGCTCACCTGCCCCTCCCCCCCCCTCTCCTCCCACCAACCCCACGTCACAACACGCAACGCCGCAGATGATGAAGGTAACGGGTAGTTTTACAAAAAGTGTTGAGAAGTTCAGTTACTCATCACGTACCTGCAATAACCCAGCTCAAAATTTGCAAAAAAATCTATAATGTCGATAAAACGATTGATAATTTTTTATTTCAAATGTTTTAAATGTGCAGCATGTTCAGATCTGACTTAGGGGTTGGAACTTGGGTATGGAAAGTTTTGAGTTCCAGGTTAGAGTTTGCTAGAAAAGATAGTAGATCGGTCGATTGAAATGTACTTTATGTAACCAGCCTCGCCGCTAAGTAAATGTCTGCAAAGCCCTTGGATCGTATCAGAGGTGGAATTTTCTATTCAGAATATACACAGCACCGACTTGATTTCAAGATACACACACAAAGGTAGTTTTAAAATTACCATTCACCTTCATTAGCTCATCAACCCCATGTATCTGTCTCAAAACGAATATCTGACAAGGAAACGATACTCGGTGTCCGCGGCCTTTTTAGATGATATGTATACCATTACAGTCGTCTTAGAACACTGATTCCGAATCTGACTTCTATTTCTGCTAATCGCTTCAAAAATGTTATAATGGATCGCGCGGATTGTGGATGCCCAGTGAAATATGATCGGAGCGCCATTGCTACCGGTGCACTGTGGTCTAGTGGTTATTGCGATAGCCCCATGAGTTGATGCAGTTGCAAGTTCGAATCCTTTTGCGTTTTTCGGTTTTGCATTGCCTCAGTTAACCTTCTTTCGCATCATCGAGCTAAGTGAACGCCTTTACTCTTCAAAAAATGTGAAAATTCGGAAAAAATGATTACTATTTGCGCTAAATTGTATCCAATGGTCATAGCTCAAATAAATTTTCTCGAACAAGCTTAATTGAGGTAATGCAAAAGTAAAAACACAAAAGAGTTTGAACCTACACCTGCGTCAGCTTATAAGGCTATTGCACTAACCACTAGACCAGAAAGTGGCCGCGGTACAGGCCGTTCCGATGACCATATTTCCCTTGAGCAGCCAAACTTGGCTCGAAATTCTCCCATAACTTCTTTCAGGGAACCGATTAGCAGAAATGGAAGGCAGATCCGGAATCAGCGTTCGAAGACGAGTGTAATGGTATGAATCACGTTTTGAAAGGCCACGGACATTGAGTATCGTTCCCTTGTGAGTTTTCTCAAATCTTGTTAAACCCATCAATCCTAGTTCTTCCTGAAATTCAAAATGGAAGCTTCATTGCCTGAGTGCAGCACCATAGTTTCCGAATTCAAAGTTCGCCTGTTACATCGAAATAAAGACACGATAATATATTTATTGTACAATAAACTTGTTACCATCTTTCAGTGAAGGGACTAAGATCGAATCTGCAATATAAACTAACTCTTTGGTCTAATTCTAATCCTCCGCCAGATGTCAGTCACCATTCTTTTCGTCACAGTGCTCTTCTTCACGCATTTCATCTACGTGTCCTCCTTGTTATGCTATGTCTGTTCGTTTACATACGGTGAAGATTCCGGTAGCGATCGGTGAGTCGAAAATGATACACGCTAAATCTATTGAAAGAAGATGAACGCCGTGGTAAGGCCACAAACCTGAAATTAAAGAATTTTCGTTGGAAGATGCAAATTAATTTGGAGAAATTGATGCAAGAATCAGATGTCAACTCGAAAGCATTTGTTGTATACAGATTATTATTAATGAGATACAGTGCTGGCCAAAACTATAGATTCACTCTGAAAACTGCCGTAGTTCTTTAGTTTACAGATGTTTGTTCAACAGGCTCTCATCAGTGACCGGAGCAAATTTCGCTTTCGTTTGATTATTCAGGAAAAAATCAAAATTCCCGAAAAAAGCAGGCTCGAAGGTTTTTCAAAACTATAGATCCACCTAAGATCTCTGTCTGCTAAAGTAATTCTTAACTTCCAAAGTCTTTTGTGCACATACATAGTCGTAAGCAGGGTCAAGCGTGGGGTGCGGCAAGCCACACCTGCGGGGTCGTATTGAGGAGTCAAAAAAGGGGGGTCGTAGTTGGGTAATCTGATGATAGTGATAACATGATATTCGTATCCTATCCATAATCAGCATGTCAAATAACCCCTGTAGACAAAGTGTGAGCGAATTCTGTAAATTCAAGATACTTGGCTACCTAAGTGAAATGGTCGAATTCCAACATGGTTAACTTTGTTTCAAAGGTAAATTAGCTATCCGTTTTTGACAGACTCAAGACAAAGCACTACTCCTTCTTTGTCCACCTCAGGAATTCCGCTTCAGAAGACCTGCAAGCTGTGGAATTAGAAGCCAACCAAAATCTCGTTTTTCATTTTTCGCTTTTGAACGCTGTGCTTTCACCAAATATTACTTAGAGCTAAGAAGACAAATCAGGCTCCAAACAGTCCTAGGGAATCTACAAGGTTTAGGCTATCGATTCATATAAATACTGTTCGCTAAAGATGTTTGTTTTTTCTGATATAGTTAATGGGGTGCGGCACACCCCCATAAAAGCTGCGGCCGCCGCAGCTTTTGAGGGGTGTGCCGCACCCCATTAACTTTATCAAAAAAAACCTTTTAGCGAACAGTATTTATATGAATCGATAGCCTAGATCTCCTAGTTTTCACAGCTTTAGTCCAGCTGTGTGATACCTTTATAAGGAACGCTTATCTGCTTTTTTCACTTAAAATTACTTTTATGCGTATTTTGTTCCCGAAAATGTTTTTATAGAGGACTCCGTACTTTTTTGACTGGTTTGAAAGTGATAGGGCTGCATTTATCTTATAAATGCATTAGCAGTGTGAGCAGTAAAAGAAAATTCGAGTTTGGTATCCAAAGCGTGCGTTCAAATTCATGCCCTCAAACTCTTTCTGCAATGTTGTCATGAGCGTGAACTGGAGTAGTAACATTGTCAGCATGTATGAGAGTTCGTATGCAGTGGTTGCAGATCCCTGCAGATCCTAGTATGCAGGCTAATTGAGGACTTCATCCTGCAAATGTTTTGCAAAAAGCTTTGAACTTATTTTTGATTCTGACCGTAATGCCATGTGAGTCATAAGGCAACATACTATACAGGATGTATTCACTAGTTAGCGGCTAAGTAGTGACAAAATTCAAGGAAGGTATAGGCGATTCCCATGCGTATAGCGGGCGTGGCTCTGCAGACATTTCACCACGTTGGAAAACTTGTTAAACCCCCATTTTAAAGCATTGGTTTTTGTACTCTCTCGGTATCAAAAATTGCCATGCGGATACGTTGGCAAGCGTCGGCAAAGCTCCGCCCGCTATACTGTAGGGAATAGACGATACCACTTGTGAGTACTTTGACATTGCCAAACACACCGCAAGACTCATGCTTTGAAAGAATTAAAATGCGACTTCGCGAACAATTGTGACTTTGGTTTACAAACTTCTTTTTGTGTAAACAATGCTAAATAATGCTTCTACAATATTTTGAGCTTACAAAAATAGCGTACACCAATTTTGAAGGCAAAAAACTCGAGCGCAGGTCTGCGGTTAGGTCTATGGTGCGCTTTGGATACGAAAACTCAAATTTTTTTCTACTGCTCAAACTGCTAAGCATCTACACGATAGATGGAGCTCTCTCACTTTCAAACCAGTCAAAAAAGTACGGAGTCCTCTATAAAAACACATTATCGGGAACAAAATACGCATGAAAGTGATTTTAAGTGAAAAAAAGCAGATAAGCGTTTCTTATAAAGGTATGACACAGCTGGACTAAAGCCACTGATTTGGCCTTCGACAATATATATGCACAAAAGACTTTGGAAGCCGAGAACTACTTTGACAGAAATTTTTGGTGGATCTATAGTTTTGGCCAACCTTCGAGCCTACTTTTTTGATTTTTTTTTCTGAATAATCAACAAAAGCGCGATTTACCCCGGTCACTCAAGAAAGTTGAACACAGAGCTGTACCAAATTCAGATCAATTTGTTGAGAAGCAGATGAATGGCAGTTTCTAGAGTGGATCTATAGTTTTGGCCAGCACTGTATTAAGTTGTTACATAAGTTTTGTTACAATGTCGCTACTTACAGCGATAAGTCCTACCTCCACATTTTCAATAAGGCATCACGGTATCATTCGATAGAGCAAAGCAAGCTCTACAAGTTCGCATGTGCAGGTTCGCACAAGCTTCGATCCGACGCAAATTTTAAGCCAAAATCCGCGTGCTCAAAAAATCAAAAATTACATCTTTATTCGGAAACATCCTATGGATCTCTCACTTGCTTACAAAAATGTCACTTCACATCAGACATTCATATATACCGTTGCTGTATTTTTTAACTAGCTAGAAGTCGAGAAAATCAAAGTTTTTGCGCTTATACAAAAACGAAGCTATGCTGCTTTCAGCTATGTTGAATTTAGCATGAAACACCTAGAGAAACGCTAAATCTGATATATCTCGCAAATTAGCGTCTGCATGAAGGTGAAAACCTACGGTTATACTTCTGAAGGCCTGCGTAAACAATTACCTACGTGAAAACAGCATAGCTTGGTTTTTGTATAAGTACAAAGAATTTGATCTTGATTCCAAGCTGATTAAAAAATACAGCATTGGTATATGTGAATGTTTGTTTAAACGAAGTGTTATCTATATGAGCAAGTGGGAAATCCATAGAATGCTTTGAACAAAGATATAGTTTTTTTTCCAATCATATGGGCATTGTAAACTTGCGGCGAATCAAAGCTTGTGCAAACCTGCACATGCGAACTTGCAAAGCTTGCTTTGCCCTATCGAGTGGTACTCCAAAGCCCTGTTGAAAATATGAAGCATAAAACTTATCGCTGTATTTAGTCAGACTGCAATAAGATTCATGTAACAACCTAATATACAAGATGTCCATAAAGTATGTATAGACTGTTTGATTGTTAATATCATTCTTCCCAACAAGTCTTTTGCCTTGCTTCAGGTACCATTTTGTAAAACTGGCTTCAACTTAGATCTCCAGTACGGAGCGAATCATCGATCGCTCTTCATTACTGTAGGATTACGATAGAAACTTCAAAAAGGGTTTTCAGCCATGAAAGACCATATTTTGCCTCAGAAAGGAAAAAAAATTCTGAAAGCTTTTAGATAGGTTAATTAGAGCTGCTGACTCTAACTGTAAAGCCAGGAATAGGTAGCCGCCATTTTTCAGTGTTCCTCAAAAGTGCGGTTACACAGTTTAGAAAGCCTCGCAGTTTTGTGAGTAGTTGAGCATTGAACTCAGCGTCCATAAAAACCCTATTACACAAGTTTTCACTTGTTTTAAAAAATTCTGGAGCGGCAGCTTTTACCACATTGGCACCATATGTTTCAAGTTTCAACCGTAATCCTAACAGTACAGGATGGGGCAAAAGTTTCGGAGCCTTGTGCCACACATAAACCGAAACTTTATGAATACAGCGCTGTTCTCAACTCTTGAGATTGCCTCTTCTGTTTTCGAAGCAGCCCTTAGAAATCTTGGCGAGTCCGCCTGTCGTGGCGCGCAGACATGAATTTCGTCCCACACCTTTACGTAACTGTTTCTTTCACCAGACAAATGTGAGATGTGATAGAGCAAACCTTTGGCTACAACGTAATGCAAGGAATTTTTTTGCAGTGTTCGGGATAATTTGGAATTTTACTTAAAGTCAAGTGTATTGGTATTTTGGAAATCTGGATGCGATTGCTCGAACGGGAGCGAAGAATCGTAGTCTGAAAAGCACTGAAATTGCTTGATCGATCGAACTCAAGTACACGCTTGCATAGGAGATTCATGGAAAAAATATAGCCTAGAATTCAGTGCCTGCTGTGCTCCTATAGCTTTCAAACTTATTAGGTTGTCCGGAAATTAATGCAGTTTTGATTTTCAACCGCAATAGGTCATACGCTTCTCATTTCTGAATAGGTTTCAAGATACCATTCGATAGAGCAAAGCAGGCTCTACAAGATGACAATCTTGCTTTAGCAACAGCTCTGATCCACCACGTGTTTCGAGCCAGAAACTAAAAAGACTCAACTGACCGAAAAAATTAAGAAAAATCGTAATTTAAATTTCTTGAGAACTAAAGCCTGTAGAGAGCTGGAAATTTACGTTTGTACTTCTACAGGTTTGTAGTATACAACTACTTATGTGGGAACGGCACAGCACCACTTTGGCAAATGCACGAAAATTTCCGTTTTCTTGATTTCTAACAGAGAAAAAATTACGGCAACGGCGTATATAGATGCCCTATGTGGATTGTGTTTACGCGAGCAAGTTAGAATTTTTATAGGATTTTTAAAAACTGATTAACGATTTTTCTTAATTTTTCGGTCAGTTGAATCTAGTTTCTGGCTCGAAACTCGTGGTGGATCACAGCTGTTGCTAAATCAAGATTGTCGTCTTGTAGAGCTTGCTTTGCTCTATCGAATGGTTTCTTGCAACCTATTCAGAAATGAGAAGTATATGACTTATTGCGGTTGGAATTCCAAACCTGCATTAATTTCCGGACAACCTCATATTTTGAAGAAAAATGCCACTGGCACGTAGGTAGTATTCGCAAGTTTTTATTTTGCGTTTTCGAAAGAATAGTATCTGGCAAACGCAACGACTAGTATTGATAGCGCAAAGTCTCCTCTATATTGCGTGCATCGAATTACTCTTGAATAACCACTGTATCTTTAGCTACGAAATATGTTGTGAAGAAAAAAATTTTTTATTTCCTCGCTTTGCAGAGCATTTGTCTGATAAATCAACTACTGCAAAAACATATGGTAAGCATTTTCAATTAGCCAAAGTGTGATTTGTAGAGGATCATCGCAGCAATACGTGACACAAATTTGGGATCAAAATCATCAGTAGTTTCTTGCTTTACAGCGCTGCAAAATAGGCTCCCAGACTTTTGCCCCACCCTGTAATGAAGAGCAATCGGTGATTCGCTCCATACTGAAAATTTACTTTTGCCCCCGCCTGTAATGAAGAGCGGTCTGTGATTCGCTCCGTACTGAAAAATCTAAGCTAAAGCCAGCTCTACAAAACAGTACCTGGAGCAAGGCAAAAGACTTGTTGGGAAGAAAGATATTAACGATCCAACAGTGTATACATACTTTATGGGCACTTTGTACTAGGGTGTTCCGAAAGTTCTGTTCGATTCGCAGATTTTCTGATTAAAACTGCTATAACTCTCTTCAAAACCAACATTTTTGCAAAGTTAAATTTTGTTGGACTAAGCGAGATTATGTCTATCAAAAGCACATACGGTGTATAAAAAAAGCAAGCGATAGAAAATAGAAAATTTGGATAATTTTGCGGATTTTTCTTCAAAACTACCCAATTTGATGTATAAATACTTCCATATAACGATACGCGGACATATTTGGTTGCCACCGCTGAATAGCCTATAGTTAAGAGAATCTTTTATGACTGAAAGGAATTCGAGCTTTTTTTGCTGCATAGATTATTCGAGCCCTCCTTCGCGCACGCAAAGAGGTCGACTTTCTAATATTTGATTTTTCCTTGCTGTCGTAAAAGAACAAAGCTAACTGGCCGATGGTCCCTGCTTGCTCTCGCTCTACTCTATCGTATAGATTATTGAGTGCACCACCGTTCGCTATACGTAGATTGTTGTTACTTTTTGAATAATTGCGATTGTCTTCCACTTTTGAGTAAAAATTGAAAAGTAAGATGTTCGCTTTGTTGGAGGAAAAATGTGCGTATGTCAGCTCATTACACCCTGACCCATTATAAAATATTACATATTTAGTTTTACGAATACTGCGGGAATTCTGTTCAAGAAACTTTTTCTTGAGCATGACTGCATTTCGGTAGTTTGGCTTGAAGGCTTGGAATTTTATCACAAAGAAGATATTTTGCCAAGCATCAGTGAGCACTAGAAATAGCAAAAAAGTGCTTTCGGATGATATCCATATCTCTGCAAAAAAATACAAAATTGCAAGAAACTGACTGCGTAAAACAAAGCAACTAGAAAGCAGACACTTTATCCAAAAAATGAGAAAACGAAAATTTTGTGGCTGTACAAAAACGAAACTACGCTGTTTCCACTCATGTAATTGGATATAATCCCTTGGGAGTACAACCGTAAATTTTCAGCATTCCATAAGCCCTAGTTTTCGAGAAATATTATTTTAGCATGCATGAGGAGAGTACAGTTCGGTATTTTTCGAATTGAACTAGGCCTGTGGAGAACGAAAAATCCACGGTTATACTTAAGGGCTTGCAGTATACAAGTACATGAGTAGAAATAACGTAGCTAAGTTTTTGTACAAACATAAAGGTTTTCGTTTTCTCATTTTTTAGATGAAGAAAAAATGCAGAAATAGTACATATGAGTTCTGACGTAGTGTGCAATTTTTGTCGGAATGACTGTCGAATATTTTCCCATTTTGTTGAGGAAAAAAGTCGACTATTTGATTACACATCTTTGTAGAATCAGCAGTTTATCCGAAGTATCTACCAGTATGTTAGAGGATCACAGGGAGGGGAGGTACTACCGCCTTACTGAAATGGAATGCTTTTTGATGAACTGTTCTAACAGGCACAAGCTCTCTTACGAAACTTTGTGAAGCATCAATAATTGCGATTACAGAGATGCAAGGTGTGCAAACAAGTCTCTTCTGATGCTCAATTTGGACGATGCGGTACGAAAGTGTGCTTCATGGGAAAAGTCTTGTATGGTAAGACACATCAAATGCAGATTAACCTTATTGAGAAGCCTCATCTATGTTGTTGTCAAGAAACAGTTTAAGCATCTGTTATGGAACAATCAACTCCCAAAAACTGGCGCAAACTTACTTTTAAGCTTCTCAAAATTTCACTTAAAGACGCTAGTTTGTCATCCCCCTCCCCCTCCAGAGAGCTCAAAATCTTCTCGGCCACTATTTACGGCCTGCCACGTGTTGGATTCGAGTTTTGTGAAACAAAGTCAGATGCCTTCGCATAATCACTCCATAAGATGGTATGAGAGCTACATACTTCAAACAAAATAGAAATGATTATTTGCTTTAGAACTGCGTACCATGGCAAGAGAAGTAACATTATGAACTGAATTCTGGAAACTTTTTGGGCGTTATCCCAGCCTAAGTTGAAAAGAACGTTTATAGCGATGATAATATATGCGATTCGTGCATAGAAAAGAAAAAGCCAAAACTTGTTACTACTGGTATCTCTAAACACTCATTTGAACGTAAGTCGGAGTGCATTATTTATAAAGCTGATTATTTTGACTCTATTTGTGGCCCAAAAGATGAGAGGCAGTGGTTAAATGTAGTCTCGTCATTAAATGACAGACTTTACTTAGATACTTATTGTTAGATACTTAGATGGCCCGTCCTCACGTGACGTGCGGGCCCCAGTACAGAAATTTCCATTGATCCCTCCTCGCTTCGGACATCCACGATCTTCTGGGTCGTCGTCGGTGGCTGCGTCCACGGGTTCCAGGGGCGAAAATCGTATCCAGCTGATTTCTGCTGGTCCATCCGTTCCACGAACACGTCTGCCCCTCTCGTTGGAGGTCTTTCTTGGGGACGTTTCGCTTCGCGAGGAATCCACTCCAATGTTCTTAATGTCCATCTGTCGTCTGTTCTTCTCATAATGCGACCGGCCCATCGATGCTTCGCTTTCGCAAGGTATTCCGCTAGGTGACGAAGACGGGACATTATTCTCATATCCGTACTGCGGAATTTTGCTTGCGTCGGGTCATCTTCAGAAGACTGCGCGCGAGCGTTTTGTGGGCTCCTTCAAGCTTTCGACGTGGCTACGGTGTCGGCCCAAGTCTCAGCTGCGTAGCAGAGCGCTGGGAACACGGTTGAGTCAAACAGGTGGGCACGAAGCTCCGGGTCCGTCAGTTGACCAGTGGCTTCCTTCAGAGGCCCGAAGGCAGCCCAGGCTGCTCTTCTTCTTCTATTAAGTTCTTCCCTCAAGTCGTTCTCCACGTTCATCGAACGTCCGCGATACACGTAAGAAGACGTCTCCATAATAGTTGTGCCTTCCAATTCCATTTCTGCATCTTCGCAAATGCGTCCTTCATGAACTGAGTCTTCTTCCGATTTATTCGCAGTCCTATACTCTTCCCCACTTCGTTTAGTTCCTTCAGCATTGTTTCTGCTTCAGTGATGCTGCTCGAGAAGAGGACGATGTCATCCGCAAAACGAAGGTTGAATAGGAATCTTCCATCAACTTGTATGCTTCTCTCTCTTCCCAGTCTAGTGACTTCATCACCCACTGCGAGGCCGCGGTGAACAGCTTCGGCGAAATAGTGTTGCCTTGTCGAACACCCTTCCCAATTGGAATGGTCAGGGGCGATGAAATAGTTGCATGTTGTTGTACAGTCCTTGTAGCAGTCGGCTAGTGTCCTCACGTAAGCTGCAATCCTTGATCGACTAGCGCAGGCAGGATGGCGTTGGTTTCGACGCTGTCAAAGGCTTTCTCGTAGTCGACGAAGGTTAGGACGAGAGGCAGTCGGTACTCCCGGCATACTTCTATGACCCTCAAAACGGTCTAGATGTGGTCCATGCAGCTGAATCCTTTGCGAAAGCTTGTTCTTGGGGTTGGGCTTCATCCAGTGTCCTAGATATGCATGCGAGAATAATCTTCGTGAAAAGCTTGTACAGCACACTAGGCATAGTGGACGGTAGTTCCGAAGACTTTCCGTTCTCCTTCTTGAAAGGAAGGACGTTCTTGACGTTCTCCACTGATCGGGAATCTTCTCCCTCTAAAGGTAAGATGTCAAATGCGACACGAGAATTTCGTGTAGACTTTGTGCTCCGGCTCGCAGAAATTCGACGGAAAGATGGTCTGGTCCCGGAGCCGTGGACGTCTTGATGGTCTGTATCGTGGTACGCACTTCAGCAGGTAGAATCCTTGGTGGTACTTCTCTAGTGGGAACAACGGGCATCGGCACGGGTGTTGAGGAGCGGAAGAGGTTGGTGTAAAAGTTCTTCGCGATAGATTCTTGTATCGGGAAGAAGTCGGAGTCCCGTCTTCAAAGTGCAGCCAGCGGTACGTGATATTTACAGAGGTCTCTTCGGCATTTCTTGAGACTTCGTCTTCTTTCGGCTGCTTCCAGTATCTTGGCTTGCCTGTACTTCCTGAGATCCTCCTGCAAAGCTTTCTGCAACTGGCGTTGGCTATCAGTCGCTCGAGATGGGTTGCATTCGGATCCTGCCTCAGAAATCTTCTTCTTTCAAGCAACTCCTTGGTAATCTTCGAAATATTAGGTTGTGTAATAAGTTCGTTCGCATTTTTTGTTTTGATTTTTTCTCAATATTTTGCAAAGTATTTGGCGAAATGTTAGTATGCGTTCGGAAGCTTCAAGTCTGCTCTATCACACCTCTGTTATCAAATTTTCAATTCTTTCAAAGTTGAACAAGAATTTGACTCCATACTGAAAAAACTGAAAAGGCAAAAATTCCATTTTTGACATCTTCTTTCTTTCTTAGTTTTCCCGTTATTTATTGTTGAAATTTATTCAAAAAGCTTGACAATGAAGAAAAACAACTGACTTATCATCTATGCACTTACTGATACCATTAAGGATTACCCACTTCCTTTCACCGACCGTTTATTGCAATTTTTGCAAAAGTCGGCGTAGCAAAGCTTTGCCCCAGTGGTGTTCATTGTCTCGCGTCCGTGGGCTGTGTGTTCTTTGCATTCTGAATTTTTGACTATACTACCCATTTATTCGATGATTTAGCGATCATAGACACATTGCCTGCCAATTCCTGGATTGTTCGGCTGCCACCCTTCCTCAGAGGTGTCTTCAGATGCTTAACGTTGACGCCAAAGAGACGTAAAAACACACCTATTTAACACACCTTACAATATGAAGGAAGGTTTTAGCACTACAAATAATCTGCGGGAGCTACAGCATTCTATTTTTACATGTCGCAAAATTTTTGAACTGTTTCTGAAGCGCTCAAACCCATTCGAGACGCAGCATAACATAGTTGTCGAAAATGCGTTTTTCGCCATTTCAGGTTTTTAGGTTTGTAGTCAAAGTTTTTACTCAACTTTCCAAAAACTGGGAACATAATGATAGTATTTTGGTAGAGCAGGCTTAGAGCTTCCGAACGCATACTAACCCTAAGCCAATGCTTTGCACAAAAACGGAGAAAAAATTGAAACAAAAAATGCGAACGAACTTATTGCACAACCTAATACTTCCAAGTTCTTCTCAGAAGTCACTGACCTCGGGCTTGGAGCGGGAAGAACCGCCTAGCGACCTGAAAACCAGACGCGGTGGACCTGGTCTGGCCGGCTCTTATCTAGGCATCCGGCCGAAACCGGAAACGTCGAACTCCTTCACAGCTTAGGAGGCCCTGCCAGAGCACATACTCGGCTGTGCAGCGCAGTTTACACCCAGTGTCAACCCCACGCCACGATGAGGCGGCCGACCATTGTGGGGGAATCACAGATTTTGGAAAGTACAAATAGTCCAAGTCGAAAAGGTGCGACACTTTTGAATCCAGATATACTTTGTTATTTTTACCTCTACGTTTCCATACCACCACCAGCGCAGTTGGTTTGGCGGTGGTCTTGAAAACACAAATCAGGATAGGTATTAGGACACAAAGTTTACTTATTTTTTTACATAATATAGTTGGGAGCGATACTGTGTACACGTAGTTCAAATTTGACATTATAAGGGCAACACTGCGCTACGAACAAGCAGTGTGTTTATTCAAGCATTTTTGGATTTTGCACGCTTGTTAAAAAGAACGCTTGAAGCATGTCAGTCATGTGCCAGTTCATCGGAGAAGCAGTTGAGCATGTGCAGAGGTACGGCGTATCATTTATTCTGTGACTAAAGGACTCAAACTGTCTCGCATATATTGTTTAAACAAGCTGAAACCTATTCTTGTCATGCATTTTCTGACTAAAAGACGCTGATTAACAAGTTGTAGAGTGTTTCAATGCGTTCTGGTTAGATACTATAGGAATTCATGGTACAGTCTGCCCCAATCCTAACCAGGCCAAAACGTCATGGCGGGAGTCCGCGCCGCGAGTGTTTCACGCCACATCTGCGGCTAGCTAGTCTGCTCTCTCCTCGGTCTCTTCACTCCCTGCGACAGCGCGCATATGCAGCGCAATCCCTTAGTGCTGCGAGCGCGCAAATTCAGCCGACGGTTCGGCCTGATCCCAATTGGGGCAGACTGTAGAACATGTCCAAATTTGCGCTGTTTAACGAGCTGGAAAACGTTCTTTCATGGATTTCTAGTAGTGATTGACCAAGAGACTTGTTGTTCAGTTGTACGCAAAGTCTTAATCGGAGAGAGAATGATATCCTGGCTCAAAGTAGTAAATAATCCTAAAAATGATAAATTACAAATACAAGCTTGTTAACCACACTACCCACACTTGTTTTGAGAAAGTATGCAATGCAAGGCGTACTACTCGAGTCCCCTAGTCAGACACTAGGAGCAGCCGGCCGGTGCAAATGAACGAAGGGCGGCGGGTTGGCCGCACCCCGGTTACGCCCCCAAATTAAGGTCGCGGGAGGCCGGAAAGGCCTTTTGGGGCCGCGAGTCGTCCGCTTCCAGTGTCTGAGTAGTTACAAAATGAATGATATGCTGACCACGTCCTACGATATCTCCTTCGCTATTTGCCTCAAGGAAAGTTCAATTTGACTTCAACACATTTGTGTAGGGCCCCACTACTGTTGGCTGTTATGGGTTGTGCTTCGCAATGACTTGATTAGGGTTCCACGTTTAGTTCCCACATAAGAAGCCAAAAGTACGCAGATTATAGACATCTTTGTCCGTGATGCACCACTCGATCGCATCCGTAAAACGTGGATGTGGTGATGGCTGTTCAAAAAAGTGCAAACATACAGGATATGGTACGAATCAGGTATGGCTGACAGCACAAAAGAAAGCACAGCGGCGTCTGCTGCTTTACAGGATTCAGATAAATTATAATCAAAATCATTAAAATGACTCATTTAGGTTGAATGCGATGACTGTTGTAAGGAAGACCTGTGTAATGCAAATTTCTCTTTGAGCTACTATGAAGAGGTAATGAAGCGACAGTCCGGCTCCTGGGTAACTCCACTTTCTGGCGAGCAGAAATGGAACAGAAAGAACAAATTCAAGTTTCCCTACTAAATGGTTTAAAAGATCTGACCGTCGGAAATTGACTCCTCGTTTGATGCTGATTATTATCGTGCATGGTATCCTGAGACTGTACTAATAAACAATATTTTCGTTTCCGGGTCGGAGATTTTCTGCTACTCTGTTTGCGTAGTTAAAGGCAGTGTCTCACCAAATATACCAGATTTCTACGCATTTCACTGGTAGACCCCTTTACTGGGCATTTGCCCAAGTTTGCTCACTTGATGAAGCTTCTTCTACATTGAGGAAGCTGGGCTCAAATTGGCTTGCGGAGCGCATTTCGGCGCTCGCTGGACAACTTGTCCGTTTTCTTAATGCGTTTCAACACGTCTTTCCAGAGACGATGCCATCCTCTTAGGCCCGTATGCACATACGTCCCCGCTGGGGAGGGGAAGGGAGTTGGATCCCCAAGGGAACCATCCACTCCGCCGGACCCCGCCATGACAGAGGGGCACCTAAGCGGGGATGGTGTGAATGGTTACATAGGTATTGATCGAGCGAACCCCAGTGCATACGGGGTTCGAATGGGGGAGGGAATCCCTTTGCCTCCCCCACTCGAATCCCGTATGCGCGAATTTAACTCAACAACGCGGGGGGAGGGGGATATCGATATCCCCTTCAACGGAGTAGGGGTTCGATGGTGTAGGTCAAGCCGGAGAAGCGAGTATTTTGGTTTCAATCAATTATTACAAGGCATTTTGTTCAAATTGATGAAAGATTTTCTACGGGAGCCGTGTTCCTCTCTCAGCGACCTGTAGCTTGCAGTTTTAACTCTCTCTTCCATATTCGCTTCTTGTAAAAAAATCCGGACATATATCGCAGTTTCGAATATCTGTAGAAGTTTGTGATCATTCACGAGAGTTGCGCATTTTTTATTTGACATGATAGTTTTATCCAATAAGGCTGGTACAACATATTGTAACTATCACATTTATGGTAAATTGTCTTTATCTTGTTGTCCTAACGTAAAGATGCTTTGAATAAAGTGAAAATTAGCAGACTCGCGTTTTTCTGAGTAGAGATCCTCGGGGGAGTGATTCCCTCCCCATCGTCCCCCTCGTGCATAGCAGGGATGACTGCTAGGGATCATTCCCCTGGGGTAAAGGACGATACGCAGCTGATAGCTACAGCGTGGAGAGCCGGCACGATTTGCAGCTTCAGTTATGTGTAGAAATGCTGATTTGAATGTCCGCAGCACCCCCCCCCCTTTTTTCGGCAGCATAACGTCTTCTACTCATTCACTGCAGATACATCTTGACTTCTATTACTGAACACCTTTACGCTGAAATGGGCAGCATGAGCGAGAATGAGCAGCATCCATGAAAACATCTGGCATATAATGGATGTAGGAAATATTTCTATAGTGCGCCGACCGCAATCATGGCAAAGGACATTCCGCAACGACTAAATATCGCCGATACACATTGAAGGCGAGTAGCTATCAAAAGGGGTGGAGGACTATATGTCGCCGAACTTGGAAGAGTCCCGTGCGGATTCCCTGCAGGAACGCATGTCCGCGCATGTACAAGGGTGCGCATTTGTCGCAAATGACTGCGGGGACCGCCCTTTTTCGGCGACATAGTCCTCTACCCTATCAAAAGATAAGAAAAAAGATCAATTACTGCGGCGGAAGCAAAATGAATTCTCCGCTCGATGTCGCCTTCTGTATAAGGGGGCTTCCCTCCCCTACTCCCAGGGGATCACCTCTTCGGTATTGTCTTTCTGCATACGAGGGTTCGCGTGGGAAAGGGAGGGGAGCCCCAACGGGGATCATTTCAATGGTTAAAGCACATTCCCTCCCCGCGGGTATGTACGTGCATACGGGCCTTAACGTTTTTATCTCTGCAGAAAACTAGAGTGAAGCGGGAAAGCTTGTCTCGGCGCTTCTGAAGGAACTTCGCTAAACGAGATTCTGGGGTTTTTGTCCGTATAGGGTTACACCACGAGAAGAATTGTAACCTGCAAAACTCCCGAGACCCAAATTCTGGTGAAACGATGCCTTTAAGCTTTTGAAGCGAGTGGCCCATGCCCATTTGGAAACCAAAATTTCTATGATGACTACTTCCAAGTTTTCAAAAACTTCATATCACATATCACTTTTGCCTGCAAACAGCAGCTGGCGAACAGGCGATTTACCCTACAATTTTTGGATTGTGGTTGCCATAGAATCCAAAGATAGGATATGAGGCAGAGGTACGGCGCATTATTTGGACAATTTACTTCTGAATAAAACAAAATAACTTACAGCTGCGGAATTGAACGTGTTAAATAGCATCTTTTTCCACCCCTCGCAAACCTTACTGTATACTTCGCACTCTCAATGCCTTTCCTGCCTTGAGCTCAAGAAGTGTGTTTTTCTGCCCAAGCAAGTGATGCATTAAGCATGAGGCGCTATTTTTAAGATGTCCTCGACCTTAGATGTGCTCGCATTTTTTCTTGGCCATAAATGCAGTGTTCCGGCAGATTCGCGTTCTGGGAGATATTGCTATGTTGGGGTTCCAGGTCATCCCACTGACCTCCAGTCGAAATCCAGCTGGTTGATGTTCCCCCTGGGCCGAGAAAATAGCCGTTGAACCGGCGCGCGCAACCCCAATCGGCGCGCGCTTAGACGACTTCACTTAACGTTCGGCGCGGAACACTACGACCGCTCTCCCGCATGGCGCATGCTATCCAAAACAAAAATTACAGGCAGCAGGGTCTTCGTGCCAGAGCCTCCCAACTTTCCATTGAAATTCTCGTCCGATCAGCCTTTTGGAAATTAGGTAAACGCCCCGAAAAAGGTCTTTCAGCCATTTCAAAGCTCAGATTTGGGGTCTACTTGTCGAAAAGGCCCAAAACATACAAAAAGATGGAAGCAAAATTTGGGGACACTGGCTATAACGTCATAAGAGTCTACCAAAGGTTGTCAAGGTTAGCACTTGACCTTACTTTCATGGGCTCTATCATGCACGCTTAGAGAAAGGTTGAAGTTTTGTAAAATTGCTCCGTGCCAGCTTCTCCATGTCAGTGGTGATTTTGCACCAATGATAAGTTGTGAGGTTAACCAATGAAAATGTCAGCACTCGCTTATCGTCTCTCTTTTAAGCTTAGTGCATACTCATGCGACTCCATTGCTGCGCGATGCTTGCGTAGAAGTTGGTCCGTTTGCAATATCTCACAAGAGCTACGCGCCTACGCATCTTTAAGCCTCGCACGATATAGCAGTAGACATCTAGCAATCGCCAAGACGCGTGGAGGTCGCGATTTGGTTGAATCGCGCGAGGTATGCTTTAGGCCTTACTCGCAGTTTATCCTATTTGTTCGCACTAACGCTACCCAGACCAAACCAATCACATGTGAATTCGTGTGTTTTTCGTTAATTTCTTGAGCTCAAATTGTAATTAGTTTGCAAGCTGACGGAAGCAGTCAAAGCCACCCGATCCCCTTTTTCATAACCATCAATCGGGGGACGAGATTATAAGCTAATTTTTCCCAGTACTTAGCCCAATCTTGATTAGCAGAAATTGTTGCAGAGGAACATCTGAGAGCATGGGCAAAAATTTGTGCAGTGAGACACGTGTAGCTTTCGTAGATTTGTTAGTAGTTATAGTGCGGTGATAGACTACGTCCAAAGGACCACTTGGAAAGCGTTCACTATAGTGAGAATAGCTTCAGCGTTTAATTTTGTACGCAGTCAAATAATACGTAGAGTGCAGCCCATTATTACAGACTGGTTCAGTTTTACGTCTTGAACTTTTTCTCAATACTTGCGACAAGTATACAGGGCTTATCAATTGCATAGTCGGATGCATCAGCATCTCCGCCTCTGCAACGCTTTCGCTAACATGCTCTCTTATCAAACCTACCACGAGCAAGGGAAAGGAGAAAACTCGCGTCTCCCAACCCAAATTATTCCTTCGCTTTATTTGACTATACATCCAGTGGCAGTATTCATCAGTGACCCACTGAGTAGGCATTGACCCAAGACCGGTATTCATGAAGTTGTGAGTTTTTCAACCCAGTGGCTAAGCCTAGCCAAGGAACCCATAAAAGCCACCTAACTGGTATTTACGAATGAACCGAATGGGACGCGAACCCAACAGTCGAGCATACCTGTAGTTACGAAACATGTTACCGAAGCAAACCCAAGCATGGAACAAAATCGCGGCAGTTTACATCACACCCAGCACTTCCTATGTTATAAGTACTTTTGTGAGCAGTGATGGGTACTACTAGCAGTATCACGCGCTAGAAATACTTTCAGACCAGTTTAAGCTATCGGAATTTTGTGGGTGTAACTGAGAAGGAACTGTTTCAATGAAAACGTTTGCCAATCCTGCTTCAACCACAACTTGAAAACCTTGGAAAAAACGGTGAACAAGTTTTGCTCCACTGTAGGGCAATTGAATACTGGGAGCTAACAACACGTCGCTACGAAAGTGTATTGCAAGACTGCCAAGCTTACAACAGAAAGAGCCCCGTTGACCCCCTAACTTGTTCGTTTTACTGCGGGATGATTGATGGATAGGTCGATTCGGCGACAATACGTAGCAGATGGCCGAACAGTCCGGTTCCCGGGGGGGGGGGGAATAATGACAACAAATAAATAAAGGATATAATAAAATGACGAACAGTTTGCTTTTCCTTGAACGTGGCGGATTGTGGATTGGCGTTGACGTTGAAGTGCTTGTTTTCGATTGAGTTATAGATGGAAGAAATTGTTGTAGATGGAGAAAATTAATCTGCCTTCAAAATTGAAAGGACTTCGTTCTAAAATTTCCCGGGTACAGCTCGTGCCGAGCCCTGCCCACAGCAAAAACTCAGCTGATGTCATGTTCAATTTTTGACCCTAGATTTCTCAATAAGGTTTTGCGATTTTTTACTCCTTGTAATGCAAGCTTTCGGAGATGAATTGAGAGTCTCCAGTCCCTCATATTCCTATTGCTTACTATCAAATCGTATGGATCTATTGAAAAGGAGTGGGAAAAATTCAAAAAAAGTGAAATAGGCAAGAGTGACCCAGAATTGATGCACAACAATCTTTAGCAGATAAACAATGTTACTTGAACTGATGTCTTATTCGCACAGTAACTGTCACTTCGTGGTTTAGGATTTGCAGAAGGGGAAGCGTTCTTTCCATTGATAGGTTGTTAGCCACGAAAAAAAAGAGTATTTCTTGGGATGATCTCCAAAATTTTGGCGCACCTCGAGATAAGAAAAGAGGAGTGGTGAGGCAGCGAACTGCTTACAAACTGGTTATTTTGAAAATCAAAATTTATTTGATTATTGCAAGTGAGTAGAAGTTTCACTCGTGAGACCAGTTCTGAAAACCTCGGTCGGCCGATGATGGTGGACCATTGCCAATTATGTCGCCTTTTTCAAGAGTGTGCTGAGACCGAACATGACCCCCGGCCTCAGCACCTCTGTGATCTATTGCGCGCCAAAACTACGTATTTAGGCTGCGGACGAAAAGAGCTACGCACAATCACGGTTCGAATTTCGCCACTATATCCTCACTTGGTATCCTCTCCTTAGTCGTTCTGTTATAGTTTTGTATGCATTCGCCTTGCATCGTCTTATGTGTATTGTCGCCTTGTATTGCTTGCCTTTACTAGGGGTGCTAACAAAAAATACTCATGCCTCAGAAGCTTTACCTATTTCGTTCAAAAATTCTCAATACATTCACTTAATGTTTGAATAGTGTTAGAATTTTGCCTCGTATCTGTTTTGTTGTTCGTTGTTTGTTAATAAAGGGTTTAATTACCGAAGTTTGAAGTGTGGTACGACGGCGGTTTCTCTCCGTATCTACCTCGAATCTGTTTTTGCATTCCCGGGTGCTGTATTATTCGTTCAGTGACCACGTAGTGGTACTCTATCAATCTCGACTGCTGAAGATGTGTCGACCAAGACCCTCGTGGCATTCGAAACTCCCATTAGTACGAAGATTCGGTACGATCTCAACGAAGCGAAGCCAGGAAGAGCTCAGGTGAAAGGTGGGAATTTGACTAGACCTTTCGCTTCACTTTACATTCTTTCTTTCGAGTTTCGTTGTGATCTCATTTTGAGTACGTGGTTCCCCCCCCCTCTCTTTTCTCGATATCCCGGGACCCAACTCAAAGAGTTGTACAGTCGTAGACTTGATTTGTGATATTACTAAGGGATCTCTGAGCTATCGATTTCAAATTCATCTGAGCATATTGATCCATACATGACAAGAGTTTTTAAACTCAAGGAAAGAACAGATAGTACAAAACATTTTAAATGATCTCAGCTTGAAACACATTCTGATCCCTGAACAATTCGTCAGATACTCTAACAATTGTCAAACTACAAGGCTGTGAACATAACAATAATGAGAGAAGAATTATCTAGATAGCATCGGTTGCGACTACAATTACGGTGACTCTCTGCTGGGCATTTCTTCCTTAGGCATTTCTCCTGATGAATAGAACGGAATCCAAAGATATTTTCCTGGAAAATCAAAGCACTATCTAGACGTAAGCGACTTTCAACTCATTACATTTTCAATATGTATTCAAACCAAAACTCTCAAGCAGTACAGCATTACAGCGCTATTGAAGACTACAAGCGACGCAATTCCATAAGTACGTATACATTTATAAAGTTGTGACGACGGATTTTACTGCGGACTTTGCGCCCACAGAAGCACAAAACGTTCACACAAAAAGGCATCACATCAAGTTCAGCTCAGTCACTTCCAGTGTCCAAATAATATCTACGTAAGCAAAAAACCAATCGTCTAGAGATCAAAACCAAGGACGGACATGCGATTTCCGGAAGTGGTGTGCGTGTCGCGCGCCGTAGCGCCATCCCTTTTCAAATGCCCTACACCTAACGTTGGATTCAACTGGCTTGCTTCCGGAAGGCGGAGCTCTGTGACTTAATTAAGGCCGCCGCGCCCGCGACGCACCTGCTCCAGTACGAGGGCTGTTTGATCATTACCTAGCCTCAATTAAGTCACGAAGCCCTGCATTCCGAAGCCAATTGAATCAAATGGTGCGCTAGAGGAGTGGTAATTGATTGGTAAATGTTTGGAGGCAGATTACAAACTTGAAAAACCACATAACCATCGTAATCCTGCTCACCGTATTTTTGTCTCTCTCGGACCACAGCATTTCGCTCAAACCGATATTTCTCAAATTCTTCAGGCGTAAGCGTCAAGTATAGGTAAATCTGGAACAAGATAACTCTTTCATGATGATTTCCTACGGAACAGACTTTGGGAACTGACTGAGTGTATAGATGGTCCCAGCATTGCTGAAGAAAGCAGAGCAAAGACTATGTATAATGGTGACTGTGGATATCGAAGAAAAAACCTTCTAAAAAGAGTACAATCAAAGAAAAGCTGGAAGCCTATTATTTTCAACGACAAAAAAAAAAGACGATCAAGAAGCTCCGCTCCATCTCATTCATGGGCTGTAACTACATAATCGCATTTAGAGGAAAAATAAAGAAAAAGGACTGCTTCTATACCTGATAAACGCCGGTGGAAATCGCTTTGGTTGTTGGAAGTAAGTCGCTCTAGTACGCTGAGAAGTGAGCGTACAACGAACAGCGTTCAACCACTTTTCTGATGCTAACACCATGCAGGGGAGAATACCTACGTCTTAACGATTATGTTGTACACACTGAACATTGCACACACTTTCAGAAAAAACCGCTTTGGAAAACACCTTTGCCTTCAAAAAAGCACAAGAGTAAAGGCAATTCTTTATTTTATTAAATATGTTCAACATGAACAAGAAACAACAATTTAGAATTCCTAATCATTACACTTCATGTCTACATCCGTCGATAAACATAAACGGCATCAATCCCTTCTCCTATTTGACCGACCTGTTGAAATTGTTCGCATTCGGGTAGTGGAAAGCGACAAGCTAACAGAGATGTGCCTGATTTCATTTCGCTGAGTTTTGGAACCATGTCTTTCATCTAGAAAACAAGTTTTGTGAAGACTTTGTAAATACCACAAAAATCTGTATGCTATCTAGATCTTAAATAATAGACAGGTCTGCATCTACCGAAAGTCCTACATGTAACATTTTCTACAATAAATATATTCCAAAATAGCAAAAAAAGCAGAAGACTGCTTATGGTTCACGATGAATATTTGTTTCCCAATTTCACCTATTTTTCTCTTTTTTTAATCGTTAAATCATTTAACCACTACTGCACAAACTTGCAAACACTACACCTTACCCTTTCTGATTGCTGTTATAATAATACTGGTTGTCTAACGAAAGCACAAGCTTAGATTAATTTCGTGAATCTTTATGTCCCTCGAGTTCACAAAAATGGTTAGAAGTTTGCATCTGCTCGAAACCACTACTTTATACAATATTATGAAAAACTATCTGATCCAGTTGACAGAGGATCCGAGCAGCGATTTTGTGAAAAACATTGTTCAAAAAAGCTTCTATAAGAGAACCTCAAAGCAGATTTTCCAAAACACCACTTTACGTTGGAACTTGAAGGCCGTAAGCTTCAAAAGATGCAGTTTTCCGTCTAGAATGTGAACTCACAACCTAACGTTAGGAGATAGTGCGCAGAATCACAAAACTGGACAGACAAGGTACTAATCCAAAAAAATTCATAAGAGAAGTAGATGAAACGTTAGGAAAAAAATAGCGCAATAAATCCTCGAAGGGTCTTGAAATCGAAAAAAAAGGAGAACTCTATATAGGCACAACGTACCAAATTTTCGGCACCAAAAATCACGGCGGTATTGTATTGCTTCAAGTCAGTCCTGAAGATATCTCGTTTGTGGAATTTCGCGACACCGCTTAGCCCATCCCTAGCAGCGCGATATTTGGAGTATACGACAAGGATTCCGTTGAGTTCCACTCCAGTGCTTGGAACGCCTTCATTGGCGCATTGGATGACCTGCATGATATGATTTAGATGTGTAAAGCTTCGTGAGCATTTATTTTCATACTTAAAAAATCATGTACTCCAGAAACAGGCTCGAAAGTCTTGAGAGTGTAGACAGAATCTTTACTTGGGCTTTTGATTCACAAACTGGACCAGGCAACTCTGCGTGACGCATGTTTTGATACTAAATGCAAAATGATATGGCTATTTTGAGGAAACGGTCAGACGGGACGATTGCGCAGATTTTTCACCCTAATGTGATCTCAATAGCGTTTTCCATCATACAATTCCCTAATGCTGAAGAATTTTCGTAACTATTTGTAGGACAACTCAGACATTCCCTCTGCAAAAGATGGTCGTTTCAAGTAATGAAATTATGTCACGACAAACGTTCAAGGAGCATCCGATTTTTCACTCTTAGATTTAGATCATCATGAACGCTGATACATTCAAGTACCCTAATTTCACGCGTATAAGACACACCTTTCTCGGTTTTTCAAGCGTGCTGTCCAGCCACCTCGTTGTGTTTCGGAAAACGAGACTTATGGCGCACAGTACTCTCAGGCAATATGCAGCACTCTAAATAGTTTTTTGGTCGCGAAGTCCTTCGGCTGTCTGTGCTGTTCGATTTTGTAAAAGAAATCCTCCGCGTCCTATATGCGTGAAATTAGGGTACTCCTCTCGTAAAAACCTCCGTCAGTCCGAATACATATTGCAAATTTCTTCAGTTTGCGGAAGTTGCGACAGCACTAATGCTCATCTTTATACTCTTCAAGTTAGCTTCCTCTGTGTGCCAGATAACTACAATGTACTTTTTCTGTTCGCTGACGTTGAAAACAGATCCACCCGCTACTTGCGCTATTGTCAGTTCCTGGACATCAATAAGCAAAGGAAATTACTCACTTCACTTTTTTGTAATGATTAATGCGCCTCTCATTTGTGGGACCGAGTCGTACAAGACAGAATTTTGCTCTATCACTAGATAGCGAAAGTCGCTCGAAAATCCATCCTCTTCAATTTAGAAAGCAGAAGTTATAAGATGATATCACGAGCATTTCTCGCTTTAAAGGAGGTAACAAAAGAGCAGAACCATCCTGCCTGATTTATCGTCAACAGGCGAAAAGATTAGCCTGGCAGATTTGACTGTCGACATATTGTTCTTGCACTGGCAAACAACAATTACCCGTAAACAGAAGCGACGTGCGCTTTCTATGGCCATTTCTTGCGCGCAGTTGACAAGTAAGTTGTCCGCAAACACAAAATATTTGTAAATATAAAATAAAAAAATAAAATAAAATATAAAAGCCATCATAACTCAAAGTAGGTCAAAATTTTACTCAGAAAATAGTGCAAATTATTATGCGGGAATGGATTTCTACGAAGATGATGACAGGAAAGTATGTTCTATTACGTGGCCCAGTCTGCAAAAATTAATTAGGTATCCCAAAGGTGTCTGTTCGAAAACTAAGTTTTGGAAAATTTCGCATAGCAAAAAACTCCTCATAGATTCTGCCTACACTTCAAAACTTTCCGACAATTACATCCCTAAACACATTTTCATTTTTCCTGGATTACGACTGGCAAGTCATCGATGATAATCGGATTATGCTAAAGCAAAAATCATTGGTCTACAACCTTTGGCTGACACATACGACAAATTTCAAATCGTTCATAAATTTCATATCAACATTTCACAACATTGCAGATACAAAATAACAGAGGGATGAGATGCTAGAGCAATCCTCCAATAGTAACACTAGAGAGATAGACATCTTCTAAAATACATTAAAACTCCTTTTTTGACTAGCCGTAACTGACGCAACTGGTGACATCGTATACATTGAGCAACAACTGACAACAATAAACAAGACATGTGCACTATTGGAATGATCACGGTGTGAGATGATATCTACAGATGCAAGAAGTGAATATCTGAGTTAGAGCTCATTGGCAACGAGAGTTCACGAAGGGATAAGAAGGAGTGAGATGTCTCCAAAGCGAAAACCAGCTTTAAAGCAGTAAGAGAGATGAAATCGAGTCATCTGATGAGAAATTATTACATGTACTCAAGGGCACCGCCCATCTAAATGACGATAAGATCAGTCCTCTATGACAGCGGTGCCCCTAGCCAAGCAATCGTCCAAGTTCCGCTACAAATGATGAATTCCGAAGAGAGAAAACCGCTACAGAAGCTAGAAGAGGCAAGGTGGCTCCGCCTATCGATGTGGGTGGTCTGAAGATCACAAGTCCGAATATGGGTTTTAGGTATATGGATATGTCGAAAATCTGGTAATTATGATAGAGTGAATTTGGGTAATTCTAGGCTTTAAGCCATTTAAGCCGGTCTTGGACTTATCTCCGGACCACCCACATCAATGGGCGGAGCCACCTTGACTGCTTCTACCTTTTCAAGAGTTTCTCGGTCCACAAATCATTTTTCTGCAGCAAAACTTGAGCAATTGCTTACTTAGGGACCCCGCTATTATAGCATAAAATTCCATAGTCCTCAACGCGGCTGTGCCTTTGAAAATCATATCAAAACCTAGCAAAATTACACGTATTTTGATAAGTGGGCCTATTGCTGAGTTTCAACGAGAGCTGTACCAGGATTGACCGGTGCTATGAATCTATTGAGTCGCGCCTTCCTCAAAAGTATTCGCGTAGTCTTCTGTTTCTTTTGCTTTTTCACCCGCTCCATCAAATCCTGCCCTCGATGCGTCACTCCATCAGCTTGATCCATCTTCGACAGTAGAGATTCCAAATCGCCTTTCCGAATCGGTTTCACTGAGATGTCTCGCACAGCTCGAAACTGTCCGCAATTGTTCACATGTTCATTCTCGAGCCGAAAATAATTCCATACAAATCTTCTGAACACCTCCGCGGGAGCAGTGACCGTCGTCAGAAAGTCTGAATCCAAAGTCCATGCTTCTCCAAGAGACACATTCAGCACCCATGAAAGCCTTAGCACAAAATCTTGAAGGATGGCTGCATAATAATAGTATTTACTGCCATAAATCATCTCCTCTCGCAGCAACGGCGCCTCTTTCGGAGCGCGAGGGTCAATCAGACCCCAGTCCATAAATATGTCCCATAAGAAGGTGTAGGTGAATGACAAGATATACGACGCAATCCAGATGTAGAAGAATGGCGATGTTACGTTCGGATCCGACTTCTCAGCCCACTTATTCAGCGCTCCACACGCCACCACCAAATAAGTAGTCGAATACTTGCCGGCATTAACGAGATGTGGATGTACTCGCTTGGTATCTCGGTAACGACGTAAACACTGCATGAAACGAACCGTCGCCGGAATGATCGACACAAAGGAACGAACACCCGACGCGGACATGCACATATCCTTGCCAGTTGTGATGTCCACATAGCCCCAAGGCACAGCACCTGTGGTCGAATTCATAGTCCTAACAGCTAGAAAATTATCCAGGGAGTAGTCCACTTCGGTTGAGTAGAAACATAAGAAGTACTGGAAGTCCAGAAACGATGTCGTCAGTGAATTCATTTGGTCCCCGAGCCAGAAATCAGTGAATGTGACGAAGTGAAGTGGAGCAGTGAAACATTTATAGCAGTGCTGTATCATCCACCATCTCGACTTTTTGTGGAAAATGTCGTCCGGCTTTGAAAGTGGATTGAACATGATGATGAAGCATATGATCATTAGTGCTAGTGGAGGTGCGAATGGGGGTATGTGGATGAGGTGAGCGTAGAGATAAGCTAGTACGGCCACAGCCCATAGCATAATCATAAAAGCGGCGATCTGCATGAGCATCTGATAGGAAAGATGATGCCTTGGATCCACTTCAAAGATCAGCACATGATTGACGCCGGCTCCGGCCCAGCCGGCCATATTTACACCGCACATGAAGACCGACAGGAACAGGAGGAAAGGACCACGAAACAGTCGCACAGCAACCCATTGTGGCTCGTTTGGTCGTGACACTAATCCCCACCACGATAGAAGAATGGCAGCGATGAGGATCAAGGCTGCTCCCATAAAGAGTCCTAGCGAAAACGTAGTGATAGGCTTTTGCTTCTCAGACAATGGAGGCACTTTCAAACGCTTCATACCAGCTTGACGATTACCGCCTTCAAGCTCGTTGATCACAGAAGTTTCCACATTGTTAATAAGAGTCTCGATCTCACGGTTCAAGAAAAACGAGCTTTTCTCCACTTTGTTTATCCTCCAATCGAGTCCACGCTCATTTCCAGTGAGTTTATCGTGTTTCTTGAGAATTTTCCGAAATCCAGTGCCATTTAATTGTTGATAATTTTGTACAAGAACCAGGCTGAGGTAAAATTCCGAAAAAGCGAGTTTCAACTGCTGACTGGTCTTTATCGTCTCCTTATGAAGCTTGTCTCGAGCACCAAATCTTCGCCGTAGAGTCATCGGTTCAGTACGTTGCTCAACAACTTCTTTGAACATCTGCAGTTCAGACTGAAGCTCATGGTACTTTCCCTGAGCCTCGGCTATCTTCTGGGAGAAAAAGAGATTGATTTTAGTAAGCTCTTTCTCGCACTCATTAAAGAACTTCTCGTCCATCTGCGCTATATGCTCTTCACGTCGTTCTTCTTCTGAAGGCACTTCCAGCATATTATCATAAAGTAGATTCTTTAAAGCTTCATAGTCGATGTACTGCTTCCGCCATTCCGGTGTCAGATGACTTGCCAGCTGTTCACCGAACTTCATCTGAAAAAATACAAAATCGAGTATGGAATGTATAACTCACTACACGTCCATCTCCAGATCCTAGATCAATGAGTGGGCCTTTCTTCGGTGTACATTCGGCTAGAGCGCGTGACACATTTTTCAGTTGCGTTGGGGTTGCGGGCACGTAGGGGATGCAGACGCGACGCAACGCTGGAGCGACAAATGGGATCGCCGCGAAGGAAATACCGATCGCCGTCGCCCCAGCGATTCCTGCGACTATCAAACCGCTTGTCGCACCCATCGTACCACTGAAAATACAAACTAGCACACCCCGTAAGCCGAGTTTTATCACCCATAGGCTCGGTATCCCTTTGTAACATAACTTCATGCCGAAGGTTTGCAAGGAAAACGTAAGTGTATATAACAGACTAAAATGCGGAATTGGTTTCCCTCACGTGTTCCAGATGCACTTCCAGCGCTCATTGTGAATCTGCCTCAATGCTTGCCGCCTCAACAAAATTAGGGATGTTTACCGGAAAAGCATTCATCTTTGCTGCGCAAAAATGCATCCATGTCGCACTTTTGGTGCTTTCACAATGCAACTAATCAGATTTTACCAGACAGAGACCCGAGGGTGGCTACATGAATTTTCCTCGGGGTTCAGTCGTTCATGGTATAGTCTTAGTACACAACATGGCCCAAAGTATGCTGGAGCACTCTTAAGACACCGTTTGAGTTAGGGGTGGGAGGGGGGGGGGGGGGAAGAAAGAGGAAATGCATCTGATAGAATAGTACCGAAGTGACGCCAACTTATCAGAATGAAATTTTCGAAAAGGAAAGACCACTCGCATCAAACAACCTCTAAGATCCTGCAAACTTAAAGGCAGCGTCCAGGCAGATCTGGACCTATGGGGCTTTTACGTGGAAAGTACTTTTGAGGCCCTAACTAAGCCACTGCCCAACCGGTAGCTCAGGTAGTGCCCTAACGGCTGAGATATTCCCCTCGAAACTGGACCCCGCGACCGTGTTTCGCATGGATTCATGGCGCAAAGCGTCGATCCTGGCGCGAAACTGCCATGAATCCATGCGGATACGTTCGCGGGGCGTCTGTTTCGAGGGGAATATCTCCGCCATTAGAGCACTACCTGAACTGCTGCTTCGGCAGTGCCTTAGTTAGGGCCCCAAAAGTACATTCCATGTGAAAGCCCCATAGGTCCAGATCTGCCTGGACGCTGCCTTTAAGCTTAAGTTGGGTTTATATTTATACTGATAGTGATTCGTAAGCTACAGCGCACAATTCGAGCGCTGACTGGAACTGTTCCAGAGCTCACGGATCAGTATGAACCCAGCCTTACAAATTATGAAAGTGCGCGACATGTACTAACGCAGCATAGTACGTCTTATGACAGCTATAAGAGTTGGTCTAAACGATCAAAGGGTTTGGAGGTGGGGTAACAAAATTCATTCAGACATGTATGATTGCAAAATCTGATCCCTAGTCTAAAATGCATTTGATCCAACGACAGCATTCATTATTATTTGTGTAGAAATCAACGCAAAAAATTTACGTGTTTTTGTGCCTCGCAGTTACTAAACGTTAGCGACTGAGGATAATAGTAAACGTTTATTCAGTTTCCGAACTTTTTGACGCATTAGAAAGGTCTGCAAGAAAGCAAATGGTGGAGAATTCTTGTACATCAAAAATTACACTTAACATTTGTCGCAACCAGCTCCCACAAAAAACTGACAAAGTTTCTTCGAAGCACATCACGTGGCATAACGGACATGCAAGCGTGCACAAAAACCTCGTTGAGGTCATGGGCCTTGAAACATGAACATAGGATGTACTAATGTCGATTGCTAATTAGCTATTACCACCGAAGATTTATAAAAATTTTCGTAAAAAAAGATAGCATGAATTCCCACTAATTCAGATGCATTCTTTCTGTACCTACGAGTAAAAACGTCATCATGCCACCCAGTTACCAGCTCGCAACAATAATAACAATTTCCAGCTCGAAAACACTACAATACGAAGATTTTGCCAACCTATAGGGATAACCAAAGTTTCTATGATGGGGATCTTCCTGCCCCTTGGCCAAAAACAGCGTCGACTCACCAAGCAAGCGCAGATGAAACAAAAAACCAAAAGAAAAAAACGAAAAAGAAAAATGACGGTACAAAAAGAATTACTTACCTTATTAGTTAGTGTATATAGTAGCAGAAAGAGAAGAGCTGTACAAGGTGTCACCTCATACGGTGCACGCTGAAAAAATACGGAGAAATTGCTGTGAACCGAATCAAAATAAACGTAACAAAACGAAGAAAATTATGTTGACATGAATTCGCGAGATTCAAAAAGGAGATCACAGTGTGAGGGCCAACTCGTAAAGAAAACTGCATGATTCATTCAGCCTAGGCTGTGCAGTGATGAATAATTTCGCCGAGGTGTGCCCTAGTGGAGGCAGCAAACTAGATGAGATGCGCTGAAGAACAAGCGAGTTGCTACAGCTGGAATGGAGAGCGCATATCCACGGCTCAATTATGGGGCATGAAAGGAGAGAAGCTGCATGATCAAATGTTCTAAGAGCAAGTAAGCTCGTAGAATTCCGCGAATAGCGCACGAGGAAAGGAAAAAAATGCAAAATTCTAAGATTTTGAATTTTTGCCAATCACCAATGTTGAGTCTCAACTTCTTATTCTACACATAAATCACGGCAAAAATATCTACGCACTTCATATTCAGACCTTCGCACAACAAACTTTCACTTACAAGAATCTCGTACTGCGAAAGAAAATGAGCGATATCTGTTGTGTAGCTTTCGTCAGCAATGGCGGATCAATTCCGTGCCGAATGTGATTCAGTGACCAAGCGAGCATAATTAACTGATGCCTCTGTTACTCAGTTAACAAGCGTAAAAAGCCGAAGAACGAGCATGCAGTGTCAAAAATATCTGATTTGTTGAATCTTTCGTGGGAAAGAAGCATTTACATAGTCCCCGAAGTACAGTTAGAGACTAGAAGGAGTGCAATGCGTCTATGTTTTATATTTTAAGAGGTACAGAAAACATTTGAATAGAATCTCAAAAAGAAGTACACGCTGATCTATTTTTATTTGCAAATTAATCATAGTCATTATAATATCATAACCTGACCACGGAAGGATCTTCAACACTACCATTGGGAAAAGAACACAACGCACCTTCAGAAACACTCCAGTCTCTTATCATGAGGGTTTCGGGACCTCTCAATAAATACTTAAGAAACCGTTGGTGCTACGTGAAAGATCCTAACCGAAATCACATATGCAGCACAAGAAAGAGAATCAGTTTCAAGCAATCAGAAAGAATACAAAAAAGCAAAAGAATTTTGCGATCGACAACATATGTAATTCGCGCGCTGGATACCGTTTTCATTTTTTCGTTTTTTTTTTCACGTAGCACCAACTGACTTTGGGTAGTAGAATTATTTTCCGTGTCCATGAGATATTATTGTGATTACTACCTGCAGAGAAAGTTTCCCTCACTTTGCGAGAAGTAGAGATCGCAGTGAATACGAATCAGCAAGATGTCGTGCACATAGAGCTAGAGTGAACACTAGCGAATGATTCTCACAAACGACACCCTTCTAATTTTCCAAGTCTGCTTGTTTTCGGTGAAGCTGCGTTCATACTGACCCGGAAGTCCGGGATCAGTTCCAGCACAACACCCCCGGACTTCGGGATCAGTATGAACGCAGCCTAAGAAACAACAGCAGCATGCAGCTTATGGAATATTCATACCTTAGGGAAACCACAAATTTATGTGTATAGCTAACAAGATATATATTTTGTGTTTCAAAGGACATTTGAAACTCGACGAGTGATCATAACAGTTACGTAAGACGACTAATTTTGAGCTGGTGCATTCAAGGTACAGAGAAAGAACAGACGAGAAGATTTGATTAGGAAGATGAAGGGGAGCTTACCAATGAGTATGTGAATGCTCTGCGGAACATGTCTTATAACTTAGCATGAATGTTAACGAGCACTTAACATTCGCCTACGATCATAAAAAGTGTTGCTATCAATCCCCTTGCTCAAATGATAGCAATCAAGCAACTTCTCCTTATGCAAAGCATAATGGGATGGGATAATTAGCGTTAGCACCGAATACGCCCGTAATAACATACCCGCAATAAATCATTTGTATTAACATGGAAGCATAATAATAAAACAAAAAATTCAGATTCAGCAATAACATGATCAAGATAATGAGCAAGATCAAGTACAGGAGCGACGAACAAATGCGTGTCAAAACTCTGCTGCTTATATGACGCCGTATAACTGTGAGTGATGCACGAAGGCGCCAATGAATTCACAGAGTTTGCCGAACTTATGAGTGTGGTTGTGGCATGTTGGCCAAATAACTTATAACGATCTAGTGCTTTTCCACTTAAAGGTTCAAAAATTCGAATGTTCAGATTGCATTCAAACTTTGCACGTGGGCATTAAACATGTCAATTATGAAAAATGTATTAATTCTGCAATATAGCGCTTTTTTGGTGTAATTACGGTAGGTATATGGTAAGGAGTCAAAATCAACGCTGGAATTTTTTGTAAAGGGGTTACGATACTACCTACCATCACTGAAACTGCGGTCTCCGTACGCTCACCTTAACCGAAATGTAAGTTGCAAATCAGTGTCACGATAGGCTAGGATGCTTACATGCGAACTAGGCAAATGTACATTCCCAACTCGAGAAAAAACGTCACACAGAATGAGCTCATTCTCAAGACAGCATGTCAATTGAATCTGATTTCCTACTAAGAAATTCTTTAAGAGGTGTTTGGCGTTAGTGTTATGAATCATGAACCTGTGGCTTACATGTGGCATGGAAACTAGAGTCCCGCCACGAGCTTCACAAATATTGAGTTGTGACCTGGATGTGCGGTTGCACACGAAGTGCACTGCGCGTGAAATCCGAACTTTGTTGCCCATAGTAGGCGCATGCGTTCAAGATATAGGCCATTCAACATGGACGGACTGGACGTCGTTGCGTCCGACTAATAGTTCGTGCGTGGGAGAGACAGCAGGCGACAAGAGGAATGAAAGAGCGGTCGATGGGCGAGACGACGACAGCGTCCGTAGTGACGTCCAATCTGCGTGCGATGAACTGACTATATGCGCGTTTTGATAGCTTGTATAATCAGAGATTAGGATTCGCACGCAGTAAAGCCCTTTGAAGAATGCAAAATGGTTAACAAGATTTCACGCACAATGCGCATGATATGTACAGTTGCAGAGAGATATGAGACGAAGGCTATCCCAAAGCAAGCAGGGAATTTTCGAGACTAGGGAAACATTATTATCCAAGAGAAAAGATGTCAAGCACTTGCATATAAACTTTGCAGAGTAGTACTTCAGTAACGCTTTACACTTCAAGTCGGAATAAAAGCCAACTATTAGAATTCTTCGAATTCCAATATAGCTCTTCAAGCCGCGGGTGAGCTTCACAAAAAGGAATGTGGCTGCAGATGCGCACGTACTTTTACAACCTTAGTAACTTAACCACTGTGCGTCCTTGTAAAAATTTGACGTAACAACCGGATACTTTTCGGTCAAATTTGCTCACTTCAACTTCCGTTGACCAAAAATAGGCTTCGAAATATGGACTGCGATGTAAAACATATAGTATGCTCAGCAGTTTAGCTCGATATTTCAGCTCATTTTACTTCACTTCAGATTATATTCTGTCTGAAGTGAAAGGAAGCAAGATTGTCGGAAATAAAAGTGCGCCAGTAAGAAGCGTTTATCTACTGAGCCTCAGATATGATATCATGCAACCAACCGGTGCATATAAAGTAAGAAATGAGCTAGAAATTGTAAAATTTAAGGACCAAATTCGTATATAAAAGGAAGTGGAGTTTAAACGCTAGGAATTGAGCATCGAGCACTTGAATGCAAATGCAACAACCTCATAGCCATAGAAGTTTGTAGGATGAGAGAAAAAGAAGCAAGTGAAGTCAAACGCGAAGAGCGGGGTACTGAAAGCACCGGAGCAAAAGAGCAGCGAGCGGAGCGAAATGCGCAAACCTCAGGCGCCGAACTCGCGCCATAGTGGAGCGGCTTGCGCAAATGAGATGCGCAACTTTCCCACTGAAATTGGATTCTATTATGCATTTCTTTTGTTGGTTTGTTTGCGTTCCGATCAACATACATTCAGAATTATGTCTGTCCTCACGAGGCTTCGACCGAGTTTGGTCCAATCCGCTCGCGCTGGATTGCGGTTCATGTCAGCTGCACCACAAACAGGTGAGTCTAACTATACTTAATTAGTTCCTTTACTTTTCAGTTATTATTGATGTTTGAATCTTTATTTCCATAATAGCCAGCACCACCAAGTTTATAGCTCTACTAAGGCTCAAGAAATTTTCTTCTATAATTCATGTTATTTGCTTGCTTCTATGAATTTTCTGACTATTTTGGGGTATTCCTAATAGTGATAATGCAAATCATTCTATCCCACCTCAAAAGTGACGCGAACTGATGCGTTTTAACTTTTTCAACGTCTTCGGGGCTTTTCAACTTCAGCCAAACCAGGAAATTGGTGTCGGAACAATGTTCTTTCTGCGAGTTTCGGCGTCTTCTGCCGTTTTAAATGAGAACAAGCCCTGTCTTGGTGGGAGATGTCGCCTTTCAATTACTATTTTGGATGCGCCATTCAAGTTGATGGTTTGCGTCTTAGTGTTTGGACTTTTGTAGCCTACATTTATTAAGAGTGTTATTGGCAGTAAACTATGCCTTCTGATTTGCTCTGACTCTATTCTCATATTGCTTTCCTAGGCGCATCTCCCTCTTAACTGACCGTTTCTGAGAATTATGACAAGCCCTACTCCAAGATTTTCAAATAATACCTGAAGCATTTGTAGTCCAAAGTCATAAGATAGTCTGAGGCCCTTATAAGGCCCTTATGAGGCCCTTATACATATATGTACTCCCCTCCGGTGTGGAAGGGGATCCGAGAAGTCACGCGCCATATCTCGCTTACTCTAGGTGGCTGCAAATTTTGCCATACAAACTGAGTTCTTCACTTCTTGTTATCCCTTGATCTTATGGCTGTTTTTGACCCGTATAAGTGCAAGAGTTCTAGAAACTGTTTTTTCACACGGAAACAATGCTGGGGCCACAATTGTGGCAGTGCCCAAGCGGCAACGCAAACTTATCACATATGCTTTTGCGACAGCCGAGGTGATAAATACGAGGCAGACTCTCCTCTACAAGACGGTGAAAAAAGTATTTTGCAAGAAGATCACTTCGCTAGGGTACACATTGAAGTGGCTATGATTAAATACTCTGGAAAATGCATCGACTTGCAGTTTCAGACCCCACAGTTAGTATACATTCTGTAACGGGAGGAGCGGATGGGAATTGTAGCTTTTTTCCTTCATTTCATTATCAAAAATTGAATTAAAAATGTTTTTGCACTCCTCTGATTATTTGGCAATCTCAATTTACATAATAACGACAAAGGCTTCTAACAAATTAGAAAACGTACAAGACATTCAAACTATACAGCCTCAGTTTTTCTTTCAGGGGCCGCCAACCAGTTTAGAGTACATAATCACAATAATTCGAATACTGTATGCGAAATTGTTCCTCTAAACTGTTATTGTCTCTCCAATAGCTCTCGAATGATCTATAAATTGTGGGTTCTGAAGTTATTGCGAGTCGATACAGTTTTCAGGGTGTTCAGTCATACTCCCCCCTCTATATCTCGGCTTGGGATCTCTCATGATCTACGTTTTCACTATCTTATAGAGGAGAGCTTGATATCACATGTTGATATTACCTGGGCTGTCGCAAGAGGATCTACGGTGAATAATTTGCGTTGTCGCTAGGCACTGCCGTAATTGTGGCCCTAGCATGAGTCTTCACCGAGAAACGGGTGTGCCTACATCCATCGCGAACTCCCTCTACATCACTTGAAATAAATAAGGAAGCTATTTGTCATTGGAGTCTCGATGCGAGTGATGTGGTCCTGCAGGGCATATGTTTGACGAGCGAAAAGTACTTGAACACTTCCGGATTCCTTTTTTGCAGATCCTGTTTTAGGCTTACCGCTGAAAGAAGGCGAGCCTGCGCCTCTTCCTTCCAAAGACAAACCTCTTTCGCCGAAAGTATCTGCTCTAGTAGATGAGATTGTCAATTTGAGCCTCCTTGATGTGAGTGAGCTTCTGCCTCCAACAAGAACTTTTATTCATGGAATGTTTAAGGTGGCAGACCTCAACAAAGCTTTGAAAAAGCGGCTCAATATAGCTGATCAACCTATGATGCCAGCTGGGATGATGATGGCTGCTCAAGCACCGAAGCCGGCCCAAACAGGTGTGTGAACTAGAATTGCACTAGATTTCTCAGTAGTTATCTGCTGCTTCGAATTCATGGGCTTTTTATATACTCATTTTTCTTGTTGTTCTAGGCTGTAGTCACCTCTATCTTCACTGCTATAAATCGAGACATAGCTACCTTGAGTATTTTATAGCTCCTAATGCATATCTTTCATGGCTGCTGCGTTTAACGTACAAATACTATAAATACTAATAAATACTGATAAATATAATCTAATATATATAATAAATACAAGTACTATAAATACTAATAAATATAATCTCATACTTTCTGTAGACTAGTCGATTTTTTACAAAAAATATGAAACCACCAAGGCAAACGCTTGTTAGGCAACAAATAATCATTATCCAGTTAATGCGGTGAAAGCCGAATTCGATGAAAATTTTTGATATCAGTATGTTTTGCTGCTATTTGCTGATGTTACCTACATATTCCCGAGTACTCACTGATCTTTCTCCATGTTTATTAATAAATCCACGACAAAGACGTTCTATCGATTCTTGACTTTTCGGACATATTACCCATCGTTGCCAATTTTCTCGTTTTTATTTCAGTTGCCAATAAGTCTTATGGTCCGAAAGCACACAGCAGTATTTTCTTGCTTTTTCGTTTTTTGTTTGCTGTTATAAATTGCAAACGAGTCAGTCCTCTGAAACCTCAATCAGCATTCTCATTAAAACAGTTTTGGAGTTTTCTTTATCTTCAAGCACAGTTATAATCTCTCTGGCTTTTTGAACTGTAGTTGCGAGTTGTTTTCGCTAGTTTAGTCTCTGCTTATTCAGACGCTCCGAAGGAAGAAGAACATGATGTGAAACAGAAGATGACATTCAGCGTGAAGTTGACTAAGTTCGACGATGCCAAGAAAATTGCCCTCATCAAGGAAATTCGAACTCTCGTTCAAGGCCTTAATCTCGTTCAGGCTAAGAAGGTTTGCGCTAAATTGGTTTCTACACCGTTCCAATCAATAAATTTTTAAATTTCTTCATTCCAGTTTGTTGAGACCGCTCCTGTTGTAGTCAAAGAGGATATGGGTAAAGCCGAAGCGGAAGAGATGAAAAAAGCACTTGAAAAAGTTGGAGCCACCGTTGAAATTGTTTAGATCTTATCAAATCCGTTATATATTGTTGTTGTTTCGTAGTCAGAGTTAGGAATTGTTTAGGGTATGTCTGTTTTCAAAAAGTTCTCACTGTACTCGTTTAATAGCGCCTCTCGCCTCCTTTGAATATTTTAGGAAATATAACGATTATTTGGATGTACAAAGCTGCTGCTCTTGTTTCGTAAAATCTCGTAGTGTTGATATATAATTGAAAATTCTTATTCATCAGTCAAATGACCTCTTTTTTGTTATAAATCTGTCGTTAAAGTGCATGCTTTTAATTGTTTTTTTTTTCAAGTTTTGCATTTTGAGTGTAGCCAAACACCCTTTCCAAGAAGAGTTTGTAGTTTTCAATGGGTCATAGGTATAGGTCATTTTAGGTCATTAACCGACAACGGATTTAACTGCAGTCTTTGCGTAGCAGGAGCATAAAACACTTATACAAAAGGGCATCACCTCAGAGCTCAACTCAGTCACTTTCAGCGTGTAAATACTATCATATGGGATCGTTCATACCGCGCACAAAGGCGGACGAAGGCGGACGAAGCCGGACGAAGCCGGACAAAGGCGGACGAAGCCGGACAAAGGCGGACGAAGGCGCATGTGAGTGTGTGTGTGCGTGTCGAGAGAAACGAGACGAGACGAGACCGCGCATTCGTCCGCCTTTGTCCGGCTTTGTCCGGCTTTGTCCGGCTTCGTCCGCCTTCGTCCGCCTTTGTCCGGCTTCGTCCGCCTTCGTCCGCCTTTGTGCGCGGTATGAACGATCCCTATGTGAGCAGAAAAACTATTCAAGTAGCTCTGAAAACCAAGAAATTGCGGTTGCCGGAAGACGCGTGCATGTTGAGCGCGGTCTCGCCATCGTCGCGATTTTTCGGATGCCCTTTAAAGGCACCGTCCACCCAAGTTGGGGTTGGTGAGATGATTGCCCAACTCGCGCTGCCTGAAGTTGCTTCCGAACCGAGAAAATTGCTTCGGAAATCGCTTCAGGCCGCTTCGCGACGCTGGCTCCTCCCCTTTCGGAGTGGGCGTGACGTTCGTCCCGCCCATTTATACGCGCCCAACCAATCACCGTACCGAAGAAATCGCTCTGCGGGTTCTGAAACAGGGGTTCTTCGTGGTTTTCGCGGATTTTCAACTTGATATTCGGAATCAGGGGTATGAGAAGGACCTGGAACGGCAAAAACATGGAGGTCGAAATTTTGGGTGGACGGTGCCTTTAAGAATCTAAGCCTAATTAGCCCGATTGCAGGTCATTACACCTGCTCTTCGCCAAAACCTTCAAAATGTACGTGCGAAGCAGGGCCCCGTACAGATCTTGTGAAAGCAGGCTGGACTTCGTTCTTGAGACAAGAGGCAAGAAGAATAGGGGATCATTTCTGCGGAAAAGATTGTGTTGCTAGAAGCGTGCGCGATTTGAAAGCAAAGCCAAAATCGACGAATTGCTTTTTCACGGCTTAGAAACAAGCATATGACACCAAATTTGGACTGTAGGCATAGAGTAGTATTTACGGAAGAATGTAAGAACTTCTAAAAACTTATGCAAAGTATTACCCTTTCCAAAATCAGCCTGGTTTCAAACGGCCATCATATGATCTGAGATCGTATGGAGCATATATTTTTCCGTTCACATAAGTTTAAATTTTTCTATCATGGGCGCATTCCCGGGTCGAGAATCTGTCCCTAAACATGAAGACATTTCCATATCGTTACATTTTCTTTGCTCCTTGCCCTATTCTTCATAAATCGCTTTGTTAGATATCGCGCTCCAATGCTCCATTGAGATTTCCACGCTTATGTTTTTCCTTTCAATTAGAATCCTTTTTTTTCATCTTCTTCTAAGTCGATAGGTTTTCAATAAGAGTCGAAGGGGACTTCGTAAAAATTTCGAAAGTCGTGGGGACTTCGTTTTCAATAACCTTAGAAACCGACTCGTGCTGGGCTCTGGTACGGAGTTGTAGGCTCATCGAAAGAAAGCGTGCAGCTACCGAAAAATAGTTGGTGGTTCGAGCAAAAGATTACTGTCCGAAGCCTGATTGGAGTACTCAGGCAAAACCCCAAAAAACCCCAGAAATATTGAAAGTCAAGTAAAAAAGGAAAAGGGCTTCGATAAGAAGGAGTCACATTTGAAGCAAAGTGCACAGTTCATGCTCAGATCAAACACTGGAAGTTCCAGGCAGTGAATTCTTAGCGAAAACCGTCTCGACTAACATCAAAAGCTCCAGCTCCTGTCAGAAATTACTTTTTCATTTAGAAATAAATTCCACAAATTTCCATAAAACTTCGGAATTGAGTCTAAATAGAAGAATAGGGAAATTTTGTTCGAACAAGAGAGTTGAACCCAAACTCACGTTGAATAAAAATTTCAAGACTCAAATTCCGAGTGGGTACACTCAGTTTTACATTTGATTTTGGTCTATGATGTCACTTGAAATGCTGATTAAGATCGCTATCAACGACAAACGACCCTCATGTGCGAACGAACAGCCATCTAATATGCTCCCAGCAATGACCTTGAATGCCTACGACAAGAAAAGGTTGGAGAAATAGTTGAAGGCGAGATCTTCCATATAAATAGGAGCGGAAAGTATGACCAAATCTATCGTTACTATGAATCATCTTTACACTTCTCATGTCTTACGACAATCACTTTTATTCTCACGGCAGTATCCGCTGCAACTTTATTCATCGGCAAATATCTAGAATAGTGTTGTTGTTGAGTCCTTTTTGAGTCTTTCTCTCAAGAATGAGTACGAAAACTAGAGAAGGTTCAACAATCTTTCACTCGAATAAAAAACACGAGGTGCAGACGAAAGTTTAGTTCTGTTGAAATGCTCAGTTACGAAACTTCGCTTTTCTTCGGGGATGAAGAATTTAGATTATGGACGTGTATATCTGGATTTCGTTTTTGCCTTCGACTTATTCGCAAAGATTCTAGAGAGACTCGATATTATCGAGATTCAGACTCGATATTCGAATATTCAAAATTTTCAATTTTCGAATATATTCGATATTCGAATATTCGAAAAAAATTTCGAATTTCCCCAAGTATAGTGCTCACTAGTGTGGGCTTTGCGTACTGCAAGCATGAGCAATGCAAAGAAAGAAGAACAGCCAATTCAATTCAGTATGAACTCAGAACATGAGCTTGAATTTGATATCTTCTTTGCTGATTTGATGCTAATAGCAGTGCGAACAACCTCATTGATCGAAAAAACATCAATTAAAATCCACCTATGATTTTTTTTTTACTGTCGCAAGCAGTCGGAAGAATGCGACTCTCCATACAGTTCAAAGGTATACCGTTTGCAAAAGATGCATCACCGAGTTTTGCGAAAAAAAAACGCGGACGAAGTGAGCTTGATACTCAGCAGTTGGCTCTGCAGCAAAGTCGAATAATCTGAATACGGAGTACATTCGAATACGAATTCGAATAAACATTCGAATAAAACATTCGAATAAAATCTATTCGAAACCCCGTTTTTTGATTATTCGAGTTTTCGAATAATATTCGAAACCTGGTTTTTGGAATATTCGAGTTTTCGAATTTTATTCGAAACCCTGTTTTTTTATTATTCGAGTTTCGAATTTTATTCGAAACCCCGTTTTCTCAATTATTCGAGTTTCGAATATTATTCGAAAATGGAAGAACTCCGAATATCGAATTTCGAATACGAATATATTCGAATGTTTTATTCGAATGATCGAATTTTTATTCGATTCGGACCCAAGTATACCGAGGAGCCGTCGACCTCGGCGGCGGTGGAAGTTCTTCCAATTCTGTGCCGGGAGTTCGCATCCTGATGACTTCATATAGGTGTTCGGCATTCATTATCCGCAGTGAGTGTCGTAAAACTGGAATAAACCTTCTATCCATACTCTACCATTTTCAACAGGGTAGACGCTAAAAGGTATAACTGGTCCGGGCTGGCAAATTCTTTCAAGGTGGTGTCGATTATAGTCCACAGTTCTGCCATGACTTTTCATATGTGTACCTCGCAACATTCCATTCGTGGCCAGACTGATATCAGTTCTTCTTCTTCTTCGACTCTTCCAAGATGTTTTTTGCAGGCCAACATGATATTCGTGATCGCTTCTTCTTATTTCCGCGTAACCATCGGCCACACGATGACCCCGTTCGACAGTGTTTCAGTCCTTGCAAGGCATTCTTAAGTTGGCCGAACTGCATGACTTTTAGTAATCACTCCTCCTCACCGGCTTAGCCCCTATGTAATTGGGGGCTAGCGTCTAGAGATCTCCAATCGCTTCCAACAGTACTGTTTGCTGTAGGGTTTCCTCGGATTCCTTTGGAGAGTTGGCATAAAGATTCACAACAATGGCAAGGCTTTCCAAAAAGCATGTCTCGCAGAGGTTGACCTTTAGGAGCCCGTTGATTGTGCCGCAGTGAAATTGTAAGTAATTGGAAAGGTAAAACGATGCAATGAATACTACAAGATGTCCCAAAAACCTTTGTTACGCGGACTGTGGCGCCCGTCTGAAAAATGCAAAACTACTTTCGGGTGGACCTAGTATTTTTACGCCACTTTTTAGATAGCCATGAGGCGCTCGAACTGTGTCAAAATGTTGCTACTTTTTAGATGACATTAGTGGTTTTAAACGTTGGAAACTCTGATCCGCCTTGACAGACAAATGGCAACGAATCCTGACGGGAGAATTTGAAACGATCTGTGGCTCGACTAATTGGTTGAGTTTGAGCCATCTTACTACACCCAGCCGCACCTCCTCGTTACGTTGAGGCAACAGACCATGAAGGGCAGTGAAGATATGTAGATTAGTTTGTGGGTGTTACTGCTTACAGTAAGTCTACACTGCGCAAAAATACCGAATGCAGATGAAGCCATCAAAGCAAGCATCTACTTCCTTTATACTGCTTCAATGCATCTATCTCAGAAGTCAAAAATTAACAACTGATCAATCTGTTTTTTGGCGAACTCTATTCTGTCTCTTGGGTCTTATGACCGCCTGCTACGAGTGCCGTTTTGACTTTTCAGATGATAAGCTTCTATGGTCATAATGGAACAACAAATGGGAAGAGAATGACGCGCTGTTTACCTCAACTTTTCCAAAGAAGCTAGGTAGAACTCTTCACGGTAACATGGCCACGACAAGACGTGCCACCTTGAAGACACTCTTGAATTAAAATTGGAAACGTTGTTTACACAACCAATAAGAGATGCAAAGAATAAGAGGACTTTTACGGTTGGAATAATCTTCTTTCTAGTAATTTTAGTTCAATGTGTTCTTCGTTAAATTGCGTAAGGAGGATTTTTCGTTTGATCTGATATTAAACGCTGCTGACAAATGACTGACTTTGTTGGTGAAGGTATTTAGAGAATATCGCACTCTCTTAGCAAAGTATTTTACGATGAATTTCTTGGCAAACACACTGCACAATGCTTTATTTCATCTTATCACAAGAAGAAACAGGCAATGAGGAAAAGTGCTCGTTTCATTCAGTCGCACTGATGAAATACCTCGCAGAAACACTTCGTGTAGCATGTATCTTTGTTATCTTTGCAATTCTTCATACATCCGTCGCTGAAAACGCAACATTTTTGTTGTGAATCAAAACAACGTAATTTTAACCTTACAGGAGTTGTTTTTCTTCTGGCGTGAGGTCTCCAGCATTCGTTAGCCCTAAGAAACAAGCTCCCAGGAAGAAAACGAAAAACAGGAAGTTCATAGTTGTTTTCAGCAATATGAGTGTGCTCTGAAAAATTCTGATTAATTTTTGGGTTTGTTTATACTGGTACGCGAGAGAAAAGCGACAGCACAACGTTTATGACTGATAGAGTCTTCTTTGCAAAATGTGGATATACTAAAAAAGATGGATTGAAGCGAACTTGCGATTAGAAGGTTAGAAAAGCTCGATGAAAGCTGCACTGCGTTTGTAAAGAATGAGTTGATGTAGTGTGTGATGCTCGCAATTCAAATAATCCACTGAAGTTGTAGGATTCGTAATAATGAACTGCGTTTTTTCTCCTTTGTGCAGATTGTCCTTTCTTGGATATCAAAGAATATAATGCCTGGACAAGAGCAAAAGCTTCTTAATCATGCGAGCATGAAAAATTTTACTCGCAAAATGAAATTTCCGTAAGTTCTCGAGAAATTTATTTAGACTACTAGCTTGCTTACCCGGCTTCGCTCGGGCCTGTCAAAATACTGTAATAAAGGTCCCATCCCTGCACACCCTTTCCCTGTGCCCACTTCTACACTTCATTTCCCGTTCCCTATGTTGTTTTCGAAATCAGCATGCCCACTTGTGCCAACTCCCAGCCCCGTAGCTCAAACTTCGCAGAAAATCGATAAAATTGATAAAATCGATATCAATCGATAACGAAAAGTAGCCTATGGCACGCTCCCCGCCTTGAAGTATATGTGTGCCAAGTTTGGTCCAAATCGGTTCAGAAATAAAAATTTCTATTCCGCACATACGTACAGACAGACAGACATACATACACATTCAGCTTCATATATGAGATCATATTATACTTTGGTCGTCAATGACCATCAGGGAGGTACAAGTATCGTGGTTGAAGGTGGCACTTCTAAATGGAGTACTGGCGTTAATTATAGATTTAAGTTCTCGGACTTTTGGAGAATTTTTCACAAACTGCCGTAACTTTGAGCAGTTGTGAGGTGCAAGTTTTGCTGCAAGAACAATGTTCAGCCTACCTCGAAAAGTAGCCCGTGAATGCCTCCCAAATACACGGTTGTCTCAAAAATAGGCCTGTTTCTACAGGATGATCGCAGGACAATTAGCTGAAAAGCTGAAGAGCTCATATGTAAATGCTGTGCGCCTATTACTGCTGCTTTGATGATTTTGAGTAACGATTTTGGAACGCTATATGTGATAAAAAAATTTCTAAAAAAAATGTGAAATACTGAGCAGTTTGCATCCAAATATGCTCCATTTTCTGATTTAGAAATTTGAGATTTTCTCTCTTTGGCAAAGTGAGTCAAATAATTTAACGTGCAAATGGCGTTTTCTAATATCCGGCGCATCTTTTGCGAGAAAAGTTGCGCTCAGGTGGAAGTTTGACTGCTTGTAATATTTGCGCATATAGCAGAATTTGAGTGCACTTGCAAGTTTGAAGTCGAGGAACTCCCCATTTAGTCACTCTATACTGAAACGATTCTTTTTTGTTCTATGAATATGTGCAGTGGAATTTTCATCGTCAGAAAGATTTTTTATGTAAATTAGACAGGTTTTGATACCATTATAATCAAAAGTGATATTTGAAAAAGTTTCTTTGCTCTTTATAACCTCAGTAAAAGTGTTGGAAATTTAAAAAAAAACGGCCTTGTACTTTTGAACAGCCTCATATTCAGGTAAGCTTTTTCGCATCGCAATGAAAAGCGCAAACTCTGGACTTTCCGTAAAGATTTTTTTCATACGCGCAAAGTTTTATTTTGTGAAGAGCACTAAATGCGATTTGCATCTTGTAAGAAAAAACATCAAAAACTTCTTTCATAGCTTGAGTATCTCATGCTTAGGATCAAAGGCAATTGCAGCCTTATTGCATAACTGAAAGTTTAGAATTAGTTCTAGAATTGCTATTGCAAAAGCCACTTTCTATTATATTAGAACCAAGGGAACATAAGGAAAAGAGAATTTATTAGGTGACTGTCGGATTCAGCTGCAGGTGGTATATATATACTGCTTTTGTGACTTCTATGATTTCTGTAGCAATGGCTTTTGTGACGTACTCAGAAAAAAGTTTGGATTATAATAGATTTTGTATGCTTCGAAGCTAAAGAAGACTCAAGTTAAGCTACTTAAAAGTGAAACTAAACCATTGCATCAATTTTTTTCATTTTCTTTGGCCTATTCGAAGCTTAAGATAGATAAATCCGTTTGTTTTCTCTGCACCGTGTACAGAAAAGTTCTCTATCTTGCTCAAATCAGCTCTATTCCAAATTTTTGTTACAGATGCTATCTCCTCTATATAAGGAAATGTGTCTATACATTCTCTAACCAACTCTTGACTATTAGTAAAAATGCTTTTATCGAGAAGAGACCTGCCTTTCAAAATAAGACGATTAGTCAATAGAGCAATCGGAAAACGCCTATTTGTGATTTGACTCATTAACATCGCAGGCTGTTTAGGTCTGTTAGATTCTTAGCCTTTTTATGTTCGTTGGGAATTTGTTACAGCAAGTGACGCACAATTCTCCTATCGCTACAGTCTTTGATCTATTCGTGCTAATGGGAGCGAGGATTTGAGCTGCAATGAAAAACTTGAAACACGTTTTAATTTTCAAAGCTGCAAATTTTGAGAGGCATCAAAGAAATCACCATTACCATCATTCTTTCCAACTCAATGTGCCATCATTTTATATCACAAATTTATATTGATAGAACAATCAATTCACTTAAGTAAATCAATCGAAGCAATGTGGAATGTAATAGCAAATTTGGAGAATAGGCGTATCAGTGAAAATCACTTTTGAAGTATGAGCATTTGTACAAATGCACAGTAAGAAGAGTGTTTCTGATCTTAGGAGACCACTGAAGCATTGAATATACACAAAGCAATAATATGAAAGTTGTCATTATCTCAAAATTTTCACTTTAATGACCCTCGAGTATTCGACTATCGAATAATATTCGAAAGTTGAGATTTTCGAATATTCGACTTTCGAATAATATTCGAAAATGAAGATTTTATATATCTTATATAAGATTTTATATATCTTTTATATATCTTATCTATATATTTTCTATCGAATATATTCGAAAACTGAAGATTTCGAATATTCGACTTTCGAACTTTATTCGAAATCGCAGACTTTCGAATATTCGACTTTTCGAATCATTCGCATTCGAATGATTTATTCGAATAATCGAATAATCATTCGATTCTGTCCCAATTATACTTTCCGTTTTCCTGAATGCAGAGATAAGGTGAAAGTGTGCGAAACCCTAAAAAAAGATTTTTGGGAGCCCTCTTGTAAGAGGGAACGATATCCCGCGGTGGTATATGCAGATGCTGACATATTTCTACAATCGGCACAGCTGAGAACGATCTGATAACGGTTGCCAATCGATATAAAACAGATACATGAGACTGTGAGAGGAGGACCTTGAGACCTACGCTGCGGAGCGTTACGGTCAACTTCAGAACTCGCCTTCATCAACCGCTGCTGTTTATCAATACTAATAACAGTAATATACAATGGGGTCAGCTCTTGCTCTATTTTGAAGGCGCAGACGACTTTCATCCTGGTTGCCTATTAGGTTTACGATTGTATCGTGATACAAAAGGTTTTATTTAAATGCACTTTGATATTCTGCGGGTTCTGGCACCAACTGAAAACCTCTAGGCAAAGCTCCAGCAAGAGCGGTCCGGGTACAAGATACTATAATGTAATGTCACGGAAGGTATAATACCGTAAAAAGAGATAAGGCACAGAATTTAGCTAAACTTTTAAAGAATGATGCTGTTTTTGTATACTCAAGGGTACATTTGAAGCAAATACAGGTAAGGCAAGATACTGATACTAGTCGATCAAAAAGTTAGCTTTATCGATTTTATTGTTTTTTCATTGTTCAACCAGAAACTCCCACAATGGTCGGCCGGCTCATCGTGGCATGGGGGTGACACTGGGTGTCGAACTGCGATGCGCAGCCGAGTGTATACTCTGGTAGGGCCTCCCAAGCTGTGAAGGAGTTTGACGTTTCCGGTTTTGGCCGGATGCCTAGCTAAGAACCGGTCACGCCAGATCCCCAGCCGTCTAGCTTCTTCTGATCGCTAGGCGGTCCCCTTCCCGCTCCAAGCCCGGGGCAGCGATCGCCCCGGGGAAATCAAGAGTTGGCCTAGTAAGTCTGCTCTTGTAGGAGAAAAATTTCATTAATCTACCAGTTAGAAGAATAGAAAGAAACCCTGTTTATCGTATCCCGCCTACGGCGCTGGGTGGTAGCAAGAACGATGTCGGGGTAATTAGGGCGCCTTTTGGATTGGACAAAAACGACAAGTCTGCCTGAAAAACATGCCATGGAGACTGCCTCATGCTCTGCACCTACAATGCCTGGACAGTCTCCACAAACGCCAATCTCCACGCTCTTCTCCACGCTGCGGAGCACATCAAGTACCACGTCATCGCTCTGCAGAAAACGAAGTCTAGGAAGAAAGACGTGCGACAGATGAGTGATGGGACCCTCATTATTCGTGGTGAAAAGGTTCCGTCACGAAACGTCGGAGGCGTTGGCATTGTCGTCCACCCATCTATCGTCCATCCTCGACTAGCCATCCTACGACTACGCCCTCCACGTCAGAAGACCATCAGCATCACCAACTGCTACTCTTCAACGTTAGCAGCTGACGACTCAGAACTAGATGCTTTCTACGAAGACGTGGAGCAGGTCGTCCGCAACGAAAATTTCTTCTACAAGTATGTTGTGGGCGACTTTAATGCGAAAATCGGAATGCCACTAGAAAAGGAATATAGGATCGGGAAGTTCGGATGTGGGCTCCGGAACGAAAACGGCAACCGTCTTGTTAGGCTTCTCTCCGTCGCACGACTCTTCAATGGAAATTCCATCTTCATGAGGAGAGAACATCGCCGAGGACATGGGAATCGCCCAACGGAACGACTCACGCGGAGATCGACTACATTCTCATCAACCGAAGGTGGATCTTGCTCGAGTCTCAGTAGTTCCATCCTTCTGCAGTGGCTCCGATCACCGCCTCCTTCGAGCGAAGTACGAC